CGCCGGCAGCTGCTCGTACCGGCCAGGTGACGCCCCGACCTTCAGAAGAGAAAATAAAGCCATCGCAAAGCATCTGTGCAGAACGCTGAAATTGGCTTGTGCTTCTTCGCATCCTTTCTTTACTTTTCAATGCCCTTGCAAGTCAACAAATAGCAATCACTGAGCACCCAATTCGATCGAGCTACTACACTCGGAATAAGAACCAGATATGATGGAACCAGGGCTGCCGTCATCGGTTGGCGACTTAATATGTTCTGGCTTCACATCGGAACCAGCACCCGAATATGTATGTAGGTAGGTTTATGTTACCTGTAAGAATCTTGGGTGTAGGCAGAATTTCAACACGATAACGAATGAAAAAAATTAATTGATAATACGCTGTGAAGTATAGACAAGCGAAGCAAGTCTTTGTTTTGAAGACCACTTGTTTATCAACTGTAATATAATCAGGAAAACATTATGAGGTAAGTTGCATCCGACTTTAAACTTTGAGGCAACATCAGCCAAAAAGAAAAACATTATATATGTTTTTCTATTTTATATTTTCTATAATTTATTCACGCTATAGCGTGAATAAATATGGACATTTTTATGCTCCAAACGCAAAAGGCTGTTTAACAGATCGGTTACAGCTTAGTGCTTACAATATCATTCGTATAAAATTAACAATAAAAATACGTGAAAAACACGCGATTTGAAATTAATCAGGCATTTGCTGGTCAATAAAAACTTAAATATAATAAATAATAAATTAAATTAAGGTTGAGCCGTTGATCATCTTATGTAAACGTAAAACTAAGCAGCGTTACATTATCCACCCTAAAAACGTGGTGTAGAAGGTTTGACGGATTGAGATTGATACGACCTTTCAGCTGGGCGCATGGATGACCCGTCAGGTCAGGTCGACACGGCTGGACCCGCACGAAAGGATCGCCATACGGTAGTACCACTGAAGGTACGACAGTATCGCTGTACGCATAGTGCCGTCGTAATAGTGCAGTCATACGACAGGATTCCCGTGCGATAGTTCTGCCGTATACGGCAGAATACGGCAGTACATACTAGCGTATACGCTAGTACCGCTGAACGCTAGTACCGCCGTACGAATAGTGCCGTCGTAATAGAGCCGTCATACGACAGTCTTGCCATACGGCCGTACGATAGTTCTGCTGTACGATAGTACCGCTGAACGATAGCACCGCCGTACGATAGTTCCTTACACGAACACCCAGCCGGCCAAACGGATCGAGCAGGTCATATCCGCAACGATAGCGCTATGGCACAGACCTAGCACTCTGTGACACATCAGCCTGTGCCGACCCAGTGTAAGCCGCACCCCCTTATCTACCACACGGCCCCGGTGGCCGCACGGATAGATAAAGAGAGATAGAAACGACGACCAAGTGACCGGAATGCAATGCATAGAGTAATCGGTTACAGCAAATAAGAGACGGCATATACGGACGGTAGTAGACGGTCAAAAGAAGCCACAGCATCCAAACAAAGGCCGAATAAGGACTTTAAAGCATCAGCAGAAGACACACATGTAATCTAGTTACCCATCGATATAGTCGTGGCCGTATGTTGCATGACAACAATGTGAACCATCAGCCAACTCAGTACACTTTGTTGCTATTTCCAGCGTTCGGTTCGTCACAGGTCGATTGCAGCGGCGAGCATACCGCATACATCTCACGTTGCTCGATGAAGTGAGTTGCAATAGTGCATTCCACACATGGGCCGCCGCCACCGACCACGTGCCGGTCGGCGCGCCGCCAGCAGCCCGATGACGTCACAATGACGTCACCGAGCGGTCTCGGCGGGCGGAGACAGACGTGGCTGACGTCCAGTGCAGTGCAGCCGGCCACTGCGCTGATCGGCGCGGGGACGGGACGGGCTGAGCCGCCCGAACCACTGCACTGCCGCCCGACCACGGCCTACCGGCCTTGGTCAGCTGCCGCCCCCCCCCCGCCGCACCCCCTCAGTGGTCACCTTCCGTGCGAGTTGAACACGCACCCACCCCCAGAACAGACCCGTGCCCTCGCACGTCACCCGCCGCTGCAACGCGCACGCAAGGCGGGTGATGCACTTCAGAAATTGTGCATAGCTGGGCGCACCACTGAATAACTCGAAAAATTAATTATAAATACGGCCGACCAAAATTGCTCAATAGGGCATATGTACCATTTTTATTCTGGTACGATCTTTTAGAACAATACGCGGTGCTTACTCTAGCCGCCCGAATAACACGTTGGGTATTTACGGGATTCAAACATTTACGCTCATGCCTCATTACATAGACGACAGACACCTTACTAGAATGGCATCTGTATGGGTCATATACGGCACACCTGGTGGAGAAGCCGGGCCCTACAACCTCAGTCAAGCCCTCGTGGCCGTTATGTTTTGTGGTCTGGACTTCGGGAGCACCTGGCCCAACTATTGGCTACCTTACAAACAATATAGCCAACGCCCGGTCCTGGGCTGCTTCTTTGTGTTTTGAAATATAAAATTCCCAAGCACGACAAAGGGAACAAGAACGAGTTACCTTTTTTAAATCCATGAACGCTGACTTTTCAAACTATTTGCCATGTGACAACATTTTAGAAGTAATTATTTTTTGCTACGAAGCGAGAGGTAATATTTCCCCCGGTTATTTGGCGGCCGACTGGCAGAATTGCCCCGCGTCCCGGATGTACCGTATAACTGCAGGGGCTTTACGCTCCTTAGGCGGTCATCCGCCACTGTATGCTTATTAATTTTGTATTAATTATTTTCTGACGATTCTGATGAGAATTGGCAACGCCAACACTGTGCGACTGGCGAAACGCAGCCTGGCTACTAACCGGGCCGGGCCCGACCTGACCTTCCCACAGGAACATGACCTGACCTAGCTCCCTACAGGAACGCGGTTGGCCGGGTCCCGCCCCGCCAGAGCCCCAATTGATATTTTGATGCTCGGATAAGAGTGCATGAAAAGTAGCAGCTCAAACTCGATTGCAAAGCAACCAGCAAAAGTCAATGTAGTCAACAATCAACGATGCTATCCATGGAAAGTGATATATAGGTGTATGACCGCGGCATGGACCGACACACTATAATAAGATGTAGATAATACGGTAATACAGCCGAGTTCCTTTAATTTCAACCGGAGAGCTTAGCGCTGTCTGCATGCATTGCCTACAGCCTACATAACTACGCTTCGTGCGCTTGCAATTTGTAATTACGGATGCATAATTATATGACATAGGTAGATATTTTGTAAGCAAAAAATAGCTTCAATGATCATCAATTCATCAAACACATAAAGGTAACTTATAATTTCTATTTTGGTGGCCCAACACACATCTGGCCACAAGCCTATGAACTTCAAGTAGGTAAATGATTATTTCTCACATCTAAATATGGAATTCAAAGGGCAAGAATGCGGACAATTTTAGCAGTGATCTTACGGCCACCCGTATGCATAATCTCTCTTTGCAGCGTGCCGACTCTTTTCAGATATGCTTGACGAATTCCCCATTGCAGTCTGCCGAATATAGTCGCGGCATTTGACAGAGCCGAGCTTTTGAATAATATCGTCATCTTTGAAGTGCAGAATTACCTGTTTGATAGCAGTACCAGTAAATTCTTCGTTGATGTATTCGACAGAGTAGACCAACCTTGACAGAGCCTACTCATTTCATTTCTCACCTAGTCTTATGTTCTAAGCGGTCATGGACTACCTATTTATGATTTCAATTCAATGAGATGGCTCACAATTCACAAATGATCGTTTGGATTGCAATCCAAACGTGCAATGATTGAAAGTACGATAAATTAGCATTCATTCATTTGGCATTGTTTCTCATCAAAAACGTTTTAGTTCTATTTTAACAATCCGAATTCACAGCATCGAACTGATAGCAAAACGACGTTAGTCTGAAACAAAGCCAATAACCACACCAAAGCTGAGGACGTTCTCGCGGCGCAAAGCATTGTTATTTATAAACGTACCTATTACACCACAGGTATCAATTCCAGCTAGCGCAGACACGCAGTTATATCTATTTGAATGCATTCAATGCATTTAATGCATATGAATGCATGTCATGGAGATAATGCTCGACTGTTTGTTTATTGGGGCTTAAGGGCGCGCAATCATATTTTTGGTCTTATTCCACTCTCATTTCATTGTATCATGAGGACAAGGTCATTTTTAACTCCATAATACAATTTTCAGTTTGCCACAAAGGTAGGTATGCGTTGTCGAGATCGAGAAGAGGACAACGAAAACGGAATCTCCAACACGGCAGCAAGCTGGTGACGGTAAGTTTCACAAAAAAGCGTTACTTAACGTCAGAACTGCTGACGGAAGCAAACAGGGTAAAGCCGCGCGGCGGTTCCACTCCTACCGCAGGCTCGCTGCGCAAAACATATAACGGTGCACGACAGATAGCATCGCTCACGACCACGATGCTCTTGAAATCCCGAATCCCGCTAAGCCCAGTTCTTCCTAGTACTCCCGGAGCCGTAGTATAAAGAAAAGGACAGTGTCGTTACAGATGTTGCCCTTGACAAGCTGACGTTGGTCAGCGACCCTAGTATTATCTTATTCGGAATCCACTGCGATCCGATGTTCGACTAGTCAATACGGGGAGGGACACTTGAATACGATTCCCCGTAGCAACCACTTACACTTGCACGGCCTTGCAAATTCACGGGGAAGTCGCTGCGCCATGGGCTAAGCCCCGGACGACTCCTGTTGCTAAGGCATATGATAAGTCTGAAACTACGCATCTACTTCGCGATATACCGATATGCACGCGATATGTAATCGGTGTCTCCAACGTAGTCGCTCGAGACTCACGGCTACATTACGCATTACAAACTACTCATCACACAGGCATGACTTGGTGACAGGTTCGGCCGCTGTCGGCCCGGGTTCCGGCGCAGCATTCCGCGCCGTTTGGAGCGTCTCCCCGCGCCCGGCGCCGGCACCTGGCCGGCGCACCACTGACCTGTCGGAGCTCTCCGAGCTGGCGGCCCGGTCGGCACGCCGACGCGCCGCCCCCAGACTCGTGGAGCCGGCGGCCAGCAGCGCGGCCACGCGCAGTCCGATGCCTTCGTCCTCATCGCCGACGGCCGGGGCAGCTTCCGTCACTGGGTGTCTCATCACTGACCACTGAGCGGCGGCCGCCGCGCTGTCCGACTCGGCACCAGGCGAGAGCGCGTGCTGAGCCGCGCCCCCTCCCGCCGACATTTTGGTCTCAACTTCGCGTCCGTCCGGCGGCGGCCAGTTGTGAGCGGCGTCCGCGGCGCGGCGCTGCGCGCGTTCCGTCGGCGGCTGACGTCACAGCGCGCCGAGGCCACAGGACATCGGCCAATGGCCGGGCGGGCCCGACCAGTCCCTCCCTCCATCCCGGCGCCGCCCGCCCGGCTCAACAATGGGCAACTTCGGCCCTCCGCCAGGACCTCCTGCTTCCGGAAGGACAGCTTCAAGGCCCTATAGACAGCTTTGGTCGCTTCGGTGGCAACCCCCCTGATAGCGCCATCGTCCATCGCCGTTAATCAAACTGCAACTCAAAATAAAATTGGATCGAACTAAAAGGTTTATTGCAGCCTCGATGAGGAGATGGTCAATACTGATGACCAATGACCGTAAAAACTGTCAAAAAACCACACACACACACAACAACATTCGGTCAGATTCAGTCGCAACACATAAACAGGATAACACATACAAAATGACTAGATCAAGACATTGATCTAGTCATTTTGATATGAATGAGGATATGAAACAATCATGGACAAACAAAACCAAGTTCAATAAACAAATTAAAGATCAAACAGGCACCTACTTCGTCCGGGTATAATGGGGTCGTGCTCCAATCAGCTGTTAGGCGCGTCTGCTCGTCAGTCGTCTCCAATAAGTACAAATGAGACCAATGATAGCGAGACCAATGATAGCGCCAACCTCAACGTGAGTCACGTCACACCGATGCCTTCAGTTCAATGGCTGGAGAAAAATAAGTAGCAATTAGTAATCCACATCCATGCGTCGAGCAGCCACGGTCACACACATCACAATCATGCAACATGCGCCTCATTCCATGGCACCAACATTCATCCCAGTACCGACAAAGCTTTGGCGGTAACATGGCTCCCCATTTTTTGCCAAAAAAAATCAAACCTCGCGCGCGTCCCGCGCAAAAGCGATACATCAACACAAAAGGCTCCCTTGACGGGAATTAAGACCTCAGTTCTCCCGACAGCGATTCCACTCAGTCACCCGAACCGCAGAGTGGTAACACGCTCCGAACTGCACGATCTAGAGTCTAGCCCGTCTAGCCATTTGGACCTCGAACGTGCAACAATAAACACAATCGGCCAGCGGCACCGCAGCGCAGTACACTGCCTTACCCGCCACTACGTGTCTCGGCCACGAAATTCACAAAGTACGCAAGTGAGCGAAAGTCACGCCGTTCAGCGATGGCGCCAGCTCACCTAGCTAGCCACCGGGCAGTCAGCCTTCACTACGCGCCCACCATCGGTCGCGGCTCGCTCATGCACTGCAGTCCCTCACTGCCCTACTCGTCAGTTCTCAAGAGCAGTATGAGGCGGTGGATCGGTCGGTCATACTCCGACCGCCCAATCCTCACGCGCACCTTACGCACGAGTTCGTCGTCACTCGGATACACGCGCACAACGCGTCCCATCGGCCACCGCCCCCTTGGGGCAGCATCGTCCACGACGATCACGACGTCACCGTCTCGGACGTTGGGTTCAGTGGCCTGCCACCGTCTCCGCTCCTGCAGAGAAGGCAGGAACTCTCTCCTCCAGCGTGTCCAGAAGAGGTTCGCCAGGAACTGCACGCGCCTCCAGCGATGTCTCGCGTACAGGTCCTCCTTGACAAATCGTCCCGGAAGAGAGCACACTACTTTCGACTTTAAGGTTAGTAGCTGCTGAGGAGTCAGGGGTTCGACCGTGTTAGTATCGGACATACTAGTGTAAGTAAGTGGCTGGCCGTTGATGATGGCTTCTGTCTCGACCATCACTGTGCGCAGCAGTTCGTCGTCCAGGCTGTGGCCGTGCGAGGCCAGGATGCTGCTGAACACCGCCCGCGCTGTCCGAATCGGTCGCTCCCAAACGCCTCCCATATGACTTGCGTGAGGGACGTTGGTGTGGAACTCAACGAGGTCGCAGTCATCCTTCAGGAGCTCATCCTGGATCTTCTTGTGGTCAGTCTCCTTCAGGGCGGCTTCCAGAAGGCTCTTGCCGCCCATGAAGTTGGTTCCTTGATCGCAAAACAAGCGGCGTACCGGGCCTCTCCGCCCCACGAAGCGCCGGTATGCGTTCAAGAACGAGTCAGCCGATAGTGAGTTTGCTGTCTCCAAGTGGACACCTCGGGAGCTCAGGCACGTGAACATCACGCCCCATCGCTTCACATCGCTTCTCTTTTCCCGGATATAGAAAGGGCCGAAATAGTCCACTCCTGTGAACGTGAACGGCTCGGCACCTTCCACACGTTCTGCAGGGAGATCCGACATCTTTTGTACAGACGGCGTTCCTCTCAGACGGATGCATTTCACACACTTCAGGATGCATCGAGACACCGCAGACCTTCCTCGTACTATCCAGTATCCTCGCTGTCTCACTTCACTCAGAGTTGTCTCTCGTCCGCAGTGCTCCATCTGGTCATGCACATGACGCACAACAAGGTCTGTCACATGTGAGCGATTGGGCAATATCACCGGATGAGCCACTTCGAAAGGCACATCTGCTCTCCGGAGTCGACCCCCAACTCGCAGCAGACCGTCGTTGTCGATGAACGGGTCCAGTCGGAACAACGAGCTCGTCTTCTTGACGCACCGCTTGATCCGTCCACTTCTTTCGTCTGTTGATTGAAGGGCCAAGTTCCGTCTCTGAAGCTCTTCGCTGAAACTGTCAGCTTGAACAGACTTCAGAATTGCCCTTTCAGCTTTGTTCAGCTCTTCTACGCTGGTCGCCACTCCGCGCGGCTGTCCCAGCGCGCCCTCCTCATGTTGTGCTGTATCTCGGTCACAGCTTCTTGCGCGCTGGCGCACTATCTGGCAGAAGCGCCGTACCACGGCGACAGCTCGTTTGGCTCGAGACCAGCTGGAAAAGTAGTCCAGTCGTTTGGCCAGAGACTGGTTTTGACCATCCTGCTCTGGGACTCCTCGGACTTCAATCTTGAGCACACTTGCTGCCTTCACTTCAGGGTCATCCGATGCCACTTCTGCCTTTGTGACCTGTCCGGGAAGACCTCCGCGCTGCAGAAGGAACGCAGGTCCGTTCCACCACAGACCGTTGGTCTTCAGCTCGTTCAGAGCTGCTCCTCTCGATGCTATGTCAGCTGGGTTATCTTCGGACGCTACGTGTCGCCACTGAGTGGGGCGCGTCGCCTGTCGAATCTGCTGGACGCGGTTCGACACGAAGACATGAAACCTCTTCGATTCGTTGTAGATATAACCCAGCACCACTTTGCTGTCGGTCCAGAACACTTCGTTCAAGTCTGGTATATCTAGCTCTCTTCTAAGGAGACAGCTGCCCTTCACCATCGCCACTGCCGCAGTCAGCTCCAGTCTGGGTACGGTGAGAGGGCGCTTAGGAGTGACTCGTGCTTTGCTGAAGACGAGTGATGATGCCATTTGCCCGTCCTCCGTCATGATCCTTAGATAGCTGCAGTAGCCGTAGCCTTCCAGACTTGCATCACAGAAGTGATGCAACTCGTACAGCTTCACACACTCTTGTCCCAGGCCATGGGCGTAGCACCTGGGCACACTCACTGAGGAGAGCTGCGAGAGGCCGGACTTCCAGCTTTCCCAGCGTTGGGCAGTCTCATCGGCTACTGGATCATCCCAGTCGTATCCATCTGTGCAAAGCTGCTTCAAGATCTTCTTGCCTTGAAGGGTTACCGGCGATACGAAACCCAAAGGGTCGTAGAGGGAGCTCACGAGAGAGAGGATCCCTCTTCTGGTGGGTGGCCGTTCTGGAGTCTCGAAGCTGAAGCCGAGAGTGTCGTCTCTCAGGTTCCACCTGATGCCCAAGGTGTGTTCAAGTGCCGTCATCTCACTCATGACTTCGACTTCTTGCAAGTCCTTGGCGCGACGGTTGGCCGGGAGCTGTAGCAGGACCTCAGACTCGTTAGACGCGAACTTCCGTAAGTTGAAGCCTCCTTTCGCGCAGAGATCGATGGTTCTCTTCGCCAGGTCTACGGCAGACTCCACGTCTGGTACGGATGTGAGGCCGTCGTCCACGTAGAAGTTACGCCGCACGAACTCGGCTGCACTTCTTCCTGATGTACTCTCGTATCTGTTGGCAGTTTCCTTCAATGCCATCATCGCACACGCTGGCGAGGACGTCGCCCCGAACAGGTGTGTTGTCATGCGGTGCTCTTCTGGGCTAGCGGTGATGTCACCTCGCTTCCACCACAGGAAGCGGAGGAGGTTCCGGTCTTCTGGGTTGACGCCGACCTGGTTAAACATTCCCTGAACATCACAGCTGAGGCCGACGAGCTCCTTTCTGAAACGGATAAGTACGCCGATGAGACTATTTCCGACGTCTGGACCCTGAAGGAGCTGCGAGTTCAGAGACACTCCTTGATGTTGAGCGCTACAATCGAACACCACTCTGAGCTTGGCCTTCTTGGGGTGGCACACCCCATGATGTGGTACGTACCACACATGTCCCTCCTGTTCTTGTTCATCGGCTGGAACGACTTCGGCGTAGCCTTTCTCCAGCATCTCATTCATAAACGCTTCATACTCCTCTCGGAACCTTGGGTCTTTCGCCAGTCTGCGTTTCAATCCTTGGAGCCTCTTCAAAGCCACCTCTCTGTTGTCCGGAAAGGAGAACGACTGGTCCCTCAGCGGGAGGGGCATCTCGAAATGGAGGTCCTCTCTCTGATGTATTTTGCTTTGCACGATGTTCATGAACTTCGTGTCGTCTTGTGAGTACGTGTGCTCTTCAAGCGTGTCGTGGAAGTCAGCCTCAAGCAGGTGCATCAGCTGAGCAGGGCTCACTTCTCGAGTGTGCACGCGGAAGGCAAAGTGACAGGACGTCCCGTTGCTCCTTTTCGCCTCACTGTCCAGGATACCGACGATACTCCATCCAAGTACTGTCTTCATTGCCCATGGCTCGTGGTCTTCTCCCGCGACAACTTCTAGAGGCTTCACTGCCTTCGCGCAGTTGATTCCGATCAAGACTCCAATCTCGGCTTCATCGAAGTATGGAGGCAGTTGCTGTCCAACAGACTTCAAGTGAGACCACTTCCGTACGCTCTCCTCTCTGGGGATGAGCCCACGATCTGCCGGGATATCGGAGCGCGAGTAGGTCGTAGGCAGGGGTACTTCGTCTCCGCCATCAACTGCCTGCACCACTAGACCATGGACGGCGTGAGCTCGCTCGACTGATTTCCCGGTCATTGTGCTCAGTTGCAGACGGGTTTCCACCCCTTCAACGTCCATCTGCTGGCGCACCGACTCCTTGATAAAACAGGCGTCTGACTGCAAGTCCAATAAGGCGTATGTGACGATCTCTCTATCTGGTCGCTCATCATGACGAAGCCGCACGGGGACGACCATCGAATGGGCGCACACATTTCTCTCTGCAACGCCCACTCGAAGAGAAGTCGCACTTGTCTGGGTACCCTGACTGCTCTTCGTGCTTGATCGCCCACCATCAGAGGCCACCAGAGCGTCATCATGCAGGACGGTAGGATGCAGCTTCCCACACTTAGTGCACCGTTTCTTCACCTTGCACGTACGCCACACATGTCCAGGCTTGAGACAGCCTCTGCAGAGACCGTGCTTGAGGACGGCGTCATGTCTCTCACGGACGCTCATCTTGATGAACTTCTGACAGTAGTCCAGAGTGTGGTCTCCATTGCAAATCTTGCACCTCAATCTTGGCACTTGGTCACCATCTGACGGCGCGTTGGTGGCAGCTAAGAATGTTCTTGCTCTTGTCTTGGGCTGAGGCTTCTTCGTGTTCTGCTCAGCTTCGGAGAGACGACTACCAACTGGTCCGCTGGCAACGCGCGCTTCTTTCCTCAAAAAGAGGACAAACTCGCCTAGAGACGGATACCTCGCGCTGGATCCGAGGCGGGGCTCGTAGAGCGCCTCGTCTACCACCCGTTCCCAGCGGTTCACAATGTACTTCGGCAGTAGCTGAAGCATCCGAACGTTCTCGTCAGGGTCACTGAGGACATCCAGACCTGCAACGGTTCTTGAAGCAACTTCGCAACTCTCCAAGTAGTCGGCGAACTGCCGGAGTCCCCTTGCATCGCCAGGAGCGATCTTCGGCCATGTACGTATCTTCCTTCTGTAGGTCTGTGCAGTTATGAAGTTGCTTCCATAACGCTCTTGCAGTTTCGCCTTCGCCTCACCATAAGCATCCTCTGAGCTCAAGTGCAGAAAACCTTGGATCGCGTTGCGTGCTTCACCGCTCGTGTACCGAGAGAGGAAGTGTAGCCTCTCGGCAGCTGATGAAGTGCGCGCTTCAATGTAGCTTACAAATGATTTCATCCACAGGTGAAACTGCTCTGCATCACCACGGAACACCTCTGGCTCCAGGGCTGGCAGAGAACTTCTCTTACTCTGCTCTGCAAGTAGCTGAGCCAGCCCTGAGAGAAGCTCTGCTGCAGAAGAGGCGGCTGCTCCCTGCGAAGGTTCTTGACTAGGATTCCTCACATCAGCTTCTCGGTTCGTGTCAGCTGCAGTGCTCAGTCCTGGTGCAGGCTGCTGCTGGTGATCAGATGGAGCAGCAATGTCCTCTACTGTCTGTTCCGGATGGCGGCTGGTTACAGCGTTTCCCTCAGTCTGACCTTCCAGTTCCAGCTTGAACTTGTGTGTCACCTCTGCCTGTCTCTGCTGGATTTCGATCTCGGTTTGCAGTGCCAACTCCTCTTCTTTCCATTGCAACTCTTGGCGTTGACGCTCAAGCTCTTGCCTTGCCTTCAGCATGGACAGTCTTGCTGCCACTTCAGCTTTCTTGCGCTGGTCTTCGATCTGCATCAGCTGAAGGCCAGACTTCGTGCTGACGCCAGAGCCAGCCACTGATGCACTTGCCGTCTTCTGCGGCTGTTTGCTCTTCAAGTAGCCTTCAACCACCATTCTGACTTGGTCGATTTCTTCCAAAACCATCTTGTGGTTCTCTGAGTGTTGCTCCACTTCAGCCCGAGGGAGCAAGTGACACAACTCATATTCGGTCTGTGAGAAGGAGATGTAGTTGTGGATCCACTTCTTGGCCTTCTCTTCTGAGATGTCTGGGTTCAGCTCCACTTCAGTACCACTCTGTCGGACCACCTGCCGACTGAGCTGCTTCAGTTCACGTAGCTGATGCTTGTAGGCCTTCGTCTTCAGTTGAGTTTGGTACTCGCGTCCCGCCTCTGTTGGACGGATGGCTCTCCCAGAACTGGACTGCAGAGCGTCCAACGTCTCATCCTCCTTCCTCGAATCAGCCATGTTAGTTCAGGTAAGGTCAGTATCAATAGGTTAGTGGTTCAGAGGAATTGGTTATGTTAAAAACTATTAACTTCACCAAACACTATACTACAAACACAAGTTGTAGGTAACTATACTACAGAAAACAACTCAAAACTGGTGACACATCATAACTGAAGCCACTACGGGTGGAAGAATTTTTACTGATAGCGCCATCGTCCATCGCCGTTAATCAAACTGCAACTCAAAATAAAATTGGATCGAACTAAAAGGTTTATTGCAGCCTCGATGAGGAGATGGTCAATACTGATGACCAATGACCGTAAAAACTGTCAAAAAACCACACACACACACAACAACATTCGGTCAGATTCAGTCGCAACACATAAACAGGATAACACATACAAAATGACTAGATCAAGACATTGATCTAGTCATTTTGATATGAATGAGGATATGAAACAATCATGGACAAACAAAACCAAGTTCAATAAACAAATTAAAGATCAAACAGGCACCTACTTCGTCCGGGTATAATGGGGTCGTGCTCCAATCAGCTGTTAGGCGCGTCTGCTCGTCAGTCGTCTCCAATAAGTACAAATGAGACCAATGATAGCGAGACCAATGATAGCGCCAACCTCAACGTGAGTCACGTCACACCGATGCCTTCAGTTCAATGGCTGGAGAAAAATAAGTAGCAATTAGTAATCCACATCCATGCGTCGAGCAGCCACGGTCACACACATCACAATCATGCAACATGCGCCTCATTCCATGGCACCAACATTCATCCCAGTACCGACAAAGCTTTGGCGGTAACACCCCCCAAAACTGACGTTTTGACTCACGACGTGACGTTGACCCGAGCAGGACACCGAACGGCATGGCAATACGGCAAGATTTACGCCCCCAATCTTTCGGCTCCTGGACCACGCAAGCGATAAGCGGTAAACGGCCTTCGTAAGGTCGTAAGAGTCATTACGAGCGTACCTATCTACCGAAACATTTATCTTTAGCCAATGTCAGCGATCAGGTCACCAGAGGTCATCCAAGGTCAATTTTCATGACTTGACACGCATGCCAAAGCGCATGCCGTTGAGCCTGTAGGGTGTAGCGTAGCTGGTGTACAAATAGGACTACATCATTTCTGAAGGCACTCAGTTCTTTTACAGCCCTTACGCCGTAGAATTTGACCTCAGGTCAGCGGTTTTACCTACACAGGGCAACAGTAGCACCGTCTGATAATTGATATAGAAACATAGAAACATTTAGTAACATTTAGAAACAATTAGAGACACTTCGAAATTGTAGGTCGATATTTTGAACGAGAATAGAGCTATAAAAAACGTCCCGGGGTGGCACTAAAGGACCCCAACCGGGACTTGTTACTTGGGTCACATCTAAAGGATTTGGGTCACTTTGGAATGGATTGTCAAGGACCCCTCTCGGACTCCTCAGACTTTGGGGTAGGCACCATAAAATGAGAAACCCTTGTCCTCCCACCATCTATTCGGCGTATATTTCCTTTTATGCTTGGATCAGACCATTACTGGTCCCTCTCCTCCTACCGGCAGATAACACTTTCAACTCAGGAGACGATGCTTTCTGGCGACTAGTGAGATTACCGAGGCCAATATCGGGCTACGAGACGGCGCCGTGGGACCTCATACATCGCGGCATCTTGGGCACAAGGTACAACTTAATCTCAACAGATACTTGGAAACTGAGGTGTCGGTGACGCCATCACTCATCAAATGACTTCATGCAAGGCATTAGACCAGGCAGACGTCATTTCATACGCACACAGAGTTTTCACGGTCAGCAACCGTCAAATCAGACCAGTGCCGAGCCGAGACCGTTCCAATCGCGAACCAGTTCGTTAGCGCAGCCGCCACAGGTGCCACAGCCCACAGAGATAAGGGACAGAGTGAACCGGACCGAACATTGAGCTAGATTGCAGGGGAGCGAGGGAAGAGCAGGACCGCATGAAGGGAACGTGAGCAATGCCCAAGACCTTTGACTGGCCTCCACTCGTTTGGTTCACAATCGGTCCAGAGGTAAAACGCAGCGGGTTGGCTCCCTGCCATCGTAGGTAGACAGGCTCTGCATAACTGCCACCCGGGATGGATCATTTTACAGTGAAGCTCCATTTTAGCGATAGGTACAGTTTACGTCCTGATAATTAAGGCCCCGACTGATCGAACGGTGAACCCATCGATCTAGCTTATATCGACCGACCCTGAGCTCGTCTTTATGTAACTAAGAACTTGGACGAGATGAGCTACAATTTTCCGATTGGCGGGAGAAACAGGCACCAGTTTATCGACGCCCGGTACTGTATTGCGAAAGAAGACCGTATAACCGCTCACACTCTAAAAACATGGCTTGATCGTAATGTATATTTCGCACACCTCTTGTACGCATGCAAGTCATAAAGAGCGGTCCTCTAGTCTATGTCGAGTGCAGTGCGTGAGCGATTAGTGCACGCGTTTCCCGCAGCCGAGACACGACGCCCTGCCGTGCCGCAGATGAATCGATAGACATCAGCACCAGATTGTTCGTCAAGCACCGTGGCCGCACAGACGCCTAAACTCTGTGTTGAAGGCTTAACAAATACAGTACAGTCCTCTCTAGGGACATACACACGCATACATACACAATTGGTAATACAATTGCGTAAATCGTTTACACATCCGCAAAATTACATTTATCTAACGATTTTAGATAGAAAAATACTACATTGCTTTCAGTTTTTGTTGCAAAATACGACAGGGATTATCTAAATCATATCAATCTTGCTCAAGCCTCTTATGCAGCGGTATAACTAACAACAAATCACCACTGAATGGTACACACGGACCTAAACATCTTTCAGCTCTTAACAAGACACATTCAAAGGGAATCAGATGTTAATCGACTGCGACTGCCATTTGTCGCTGTGCGGCACAGTAGCAACAGAACCCTACCCAACATTAAAAGAGTAGCAAACGATCACAACTAAAAACAACACAGATGGAAACTAACAGGAGCGTGAACAAAGCAGCTACCTCCTACCAACGGAAGCCGAGTACAAAACAAGTATCGATAGGTATTGTCGACACAGATTCACAATAAACAACTGCCCAAAGAAACTGCCAACTGCGCGTCTAAATAAAAAAATCGCCTTCTTAAAAAAAAAAAATCGGGCAGGGAACTAAACTGTCGAAATAGTTAGGTACTGATGCCTAATGGCAAAACAATTATGCATTTCAGCTTTACATTCTAAAGGATAAGCAAAGAAGGCAGAAAACCCGTAATCATGAATTATTTTAGACCACAGCAGCTAAAAAAGGCGAAAAAGCTGTTTGATTTTTCTCATAACGTAGCATTGCCATGCAACCTATAGTAATCGCAACCAATAGGCCTTGCAACTTAAAGCTTCAAGCTATCCTTGATCGCCGTCTTCTCGGCTATCGATTTAGAAAGCAAGCAGCGATGGTGAGATACAGAAAGAGAGCATAGCACCGGCCTCTATTTCGGGACACGGTCAGGCTCAATCACCGGGCGCCGAGCGTACCGGCGCGGTGGGGATGCATGATTAAATGGTCTTAACCATGGTAAAACTGTATCTGACTGCTGAATGTCAGAGGCCCTATTTCTATTGTTTCACTTTCTTGACTGAAAAGTTTCTCTTTTTCAACTAACAACACTTGCCAGTACATAATCTGATGACGCAGGGGTCCACAGCATGGATACAGCTGAACCTGCAAAGCGTTTGATAGAAAACGTGTCTTAAAAACACAAGGAACAACGAACCTCCATCAGTAGAAGTCGAACAGGGTGACATCTAAATCAAAACAAAACACGTACATCCAGCACATAGCGCAGATGCCGCTCTCAACAAAGAAGCCTAAGCTAAGCCTGGCTAGCGTGTAAATTCGTTTCATTCGACCGCAACACGCGGGACGACCAGCCGGTTTCGGCGATGCAGCTATCAACTAGCCCAGTGTGCGCGCCGCGGTTCAGACGGCGGCCCGGGGTGTGTGCTATTTCGGGTGTGCCGGTGTCGGAGCGCGGCCGTTCGCGCTCCACCGAGCCGCTCCCCTGAGTGACCGTAAGGCCGCAATGCCGCCGGCAAACAGCCTCGGTCGGAAGACACTCAGACGCAGCGCCGGTAGCCCGCCACCGCACACAAAAATCCACGGTCACTGCGGCAGCGAGACAGTGCCAGCACACAGGTACCGAAATGCATAGCTTCCGAGATTGAGGATCACCAAGGCACCGAGCAGAGCAGAGTCTCAAAGGCGATTAGTGGACAAATGGACAATCTTTTGAACAGATGAGCCATGAATTGATTGTAGGGTAGGGTAAGGTGTGTGCAGACCGTAGGTTACCTGATTGCTGCCCAAGTGAACTCTCCATCACCCACTCCTCAGCTACCGAAAAGAACTCAGCAGACTGTACAGCAGCCACTAGTCGGCGGGTGCAGGTGTCTCGAGTAGCGCCGGCGGTGCGGGCGGGTCGCGTCGATCAGCGATCACGTCCACATGTAGGTGGGCACCATGGACTCCTTGGTACCCAGGTCGGGCGTCAGGTTTTCGGACTCGAGGAACGCCAACGGTAGGTCCACCAGGTGCCCCTGTCAGACACCGAGTGACACGGTCAGTGTAGGACAGACACGGAGTGGTCAGTGTCAGACACAGAGTGGTCAGTGTCAGACAGACACAGAGTGGTCAGTGTCAGACAGACACGGAGTGGTCAGTGTTATACACGGAGTGGTCAGTGTCAGACAGACACGGAGTGGTCAGTGTTATACACGGAGTGGTCAGTGTCAGACAGCCAGAGTGGTCAGTGTTATACACGGAGTGGTCAGTGTCAGACAGACACGGAGTGGTCAGTGTCATACAGACACGGAGTGGTTAGTGTCATACAGACACGGGGTGGTCAGTGTTATACACGGGGTGGTCAGTGTCCGACAGACGCGGAGTGACCGGTGTCAGACACAGAGTGGTCAGTGTTATACACGGGGTGGTCAGTGTCAGACAGACACGGAGTGGTCAGTGTTATACACGGGGTGGTCAGTGTTATACACAGAGTGGTCAGTGTTATACACGGGGTGGTCAGTGTCAGACACGGAGTGGTCAGTGTTAAACACGGGGTGGTCAGTGTCAGACACACACAGAGTGGTCACTGGTCAGTGTTATACACGGGGTGGTCACTGTCAGACACGGAGTGGTCAGTGTTATACACGGGGTGGTCAGTGTTATACACGGGGTGGTCAGTGTCAGACAGACACGGAGTGGTCAGTGTTATACACGGGGTGGTCAGTGTTATACACAGAGTGGTCAGTGTTATACACGGGGTGGTCAGTATCAGACAGACACAGAGTGGTCAGTGTTATACACAGAGTGGTCAGTGTTATACACGGGGTGGTCAGTGTCAGACAGACACGGAGTGGTCAGTGTCAGACAGACACGGGGTGGTCAGTGTTATACACGGGGTGGTCAGTGTTATACACGGGGTGGTCAGTGTTATCCACAGAGTGGTCAGTGTTATACACGGGGTGGTCAGTGTTATACACGGGGTGGTCAGTGTCAGACACGGAGTGGTCAGTGTTATACACGGGGTGGTCAGTATCAGACAGACACAGAGTAGTCAGTGTTATACACGGAGTGATCAGTGTTATACACGGGGTGGTCAGTGTCAGACACGGAGTGGTCAGTGTTATACACGGGGTGGTCAGTATCAGACAGACACAGAGTAGTCAGTGTTATACACGGGGTGGTCAATGTCAGACACAGAGTGGTCAGTGTTATACACAGAGTGGTCAGTGTCAGACACAGAGTGGTCAGTGTTATACACGGAGTGGTCTGTGTTATACACGGGGTGGTCAGTGTTATACACGGGGTGGTCAGTGTTATACATGGGGTGGTCAGCGTTAGGTTGACACACACGGAGTGGTCAGTCTCAGACACGGAGTGGTCAGTGTCATACAGACACGGAGTGGTCAGTGTCAGACACACACGGAGTGGTCAGTCTCAGACACGGAGTGGTCAGTGTCATACAGACACGGAGTGGTTAGTGTCATACAGACACGGGGTGGTCAGTGTTATACACGGGGTGGTCAGTGTCCGACAGACGCGGAGTGACCGGTGTCAGACACAGAGTGGTCAGTGTTATACACGGAGTGGTCAATGTCAGACAGACACAGAGTGGTCAGTGTTATACACGGAGTGGTCAGTGTCAGACACACACGGAGTGGTCAGTGTCAGACAGACACGGGGTGGTCAGTGTCACACATGTAACGGCTAGTGTCAGTGGACCCACACGGATAGACATAATTCCTGCAGCGCCATCAATTTGATAGGATGTCCCCGAGTCATCCGACCAGGCAGTCCATAATTCAGCCACCCGATTTACTGATCGTGTAATTCGGCGGTAGAGATAACGACCCTGCACAACATGACCTCCTTGTTTTGACCAAACGATTTACTTATCCGAGGCACTTAGGAAGTAACGTTAAACAGAAAAATCCTAAAATGATGTATTATGTAAAATATGATTACGCACTTATAAAAATCATCCACCAAACCATTACTGGCATCGTTTATGTCTAATCCTGACGACCCTTATAAAGCCGATCCGGTCACAAACAAACGGTACGGAACCACGGGAATATTCATACAGACGTTCGGCATGCTGCATTTATCCACCAATCAATCTGCAATTGGGGCATGCATTACACAGCTGATTGGGATGTAATAAACCTTTCCTAATAGAAGGCTAATTGAGATCCTAGTACCTCATACGCGACCTTTGTAGTAGGAAATCGTAATCTCTATGACATTAGCTCCCTTATAAGAACAGAGTTTATTATAAATCGCGTATTATCTGCGAGAACTAGATGGAAAACGTCGCACTAACAAATAACACCATGAAAACTTTAGTAATCGTTATACTGAGATTCATGTATCCATTCATAAAATAATGCATACCATCCAATAATGTAATTACGCCATTTTGGAAGAAATCTTGTCATCAGATATCCTACAAAAATACCTTATTTACAAATATGTACACACATGAAACGTACACACGGGAAAGGTGCGGTTAGATGATGCCCCGTTAATGGTCCGGTTATAAATGCCCTCAAGTCAATGGCCTGCTGCATGACATTTATCTGGCTTTCCCCAAGTCCGTTTTACACTATCCAGCAGAAGGTGCGGTTACACAGGATCACCTACCTCGCTCGGCGGCCGAGCCGGCCGGCCAGCTCACGTCCACAGCGAGGTGGGCATGAGGCCCTCCTTGGTGGCCCGCTTCGGCCGCAGGTCCTCGTCAGACAGAAAGTGGAAGGGCAGAAGCACCAGGTGGCCCTAGGTCACAGGCAGGGCACGGGTGTGAGCGGGCATGCTGCGTGCCGCGGCGACCCGGGCTATGTACAGTACGGCCAGTGCTGCCGCCGGGCATGCTGGTTAGGCGCGCGGGCTCATACACAGCGAGATGCAGAACCACACACGGAGCCGTGTGGTCCGACTACGGGTGACGCAGGCCGCGCCGGCACCAGTCAGAAGTGTTACGTCATTAGTATGCAGAAGGCAATGCGAGCTACCACTACTGAAAGACAGACGCGGAAGACTGGTATATGTGTACACTCCCTCCCCATGTATTATACTACAGCGACACCAATGTCAGCTCCAGTGATTGACAGCCAAATGAAAGAAAACAAAAACGGCTTCTACCAAAATCAACCGCCAATTACACAATATACAATCTAAGAAAAATGATAAAGCCATAAGCTAATGCGGTCATCACGGCGCATCATAACGCAAAATCTCGATTAAAACCTTCCGTGGGGAGGCTGTGCTTGCCGACAGCCCCGACTACGAACATTCTTTGCCGCCTGCCCTTGAAATACCGTTCATAGCATAGATATCTTTAATTCCTACTTCGATAGAAATTTCTAGACAGCACGGTAAAGAATCTCCGTCGTGAGTGGTAGCGGGCTCGGCTAGCACTGCCTAAGTTGCTATTCAGTAGCATTAACAAGAGAAAATGTTGATCTGGTTGATTTTTAGCCAAGCCTACATACGTAGACTTCGTTTTTGCCACAACTTTTAAAGTTCGGTGCAAAAATTGCTTTTACATACCAATTATAAAGTAAAGTTCTTCCTCAACCAGGCATCAGGTCTGCAAGGCAATATACAACGAGCTATGTTCTACCAAAGGGGATGTTAGTAACGCGAAATGGCCGACATTCATGTGAGTTCTATCTACGCTGGCAGCGTGCGCCCTTTGCGCCCACAATGCTACTGGGCTCGACATGCAGCTGTGCAATGTGCATCGCACGGTGTAGCAGCGACTGGCTGCGGTGGTTAGCGTGGACCTTCCACCTTTCCTGCCCGGCACTTACCCTGACATCCTTGAGCATGTCCTTTGCGCGCGACGGATAGGAGAGTGCCAGCGGTACCTCGCGCTGATACTCCTGGAGCTGTACGAAACTCTTGACCGAGTCGGTGGGGATGCACCGGAACACCTGCGGACGGAGGTAGGGGAGAAAGGTCACACGGAGGAGCGGTCACCGGCCACGATAACCAACACATGTTGCTAAGGAGCAGTAAGCTACCTGTGCTTATGTAAGCAGCATTCAAACGGATCGCTTTAGTTACGGCTTAGATGGTAGCAGGTCATAAAGTACAGCAGCAGCAGAAGCATTAGAGTACATTGGGCGGGCCATCCAGCATTGTGGCAGAAATATGTCCGTGACCGATAATCCCATGCAGCCCTACCACCGTCCACAATCGACCGACGTCACGGACCTTCTCGAACACGTCGGTGTTCTTGCTGGAGAACTTGAGCCAGACGCTCTTATAGAAGTCGTCGCTGGTGGCGTCTCGCACGTCGACGCTCTCGTCGGGGGTCTCCAGGAGGCCGAGGTGCTCCTTGAACAGGTGTCGGCGCATGGAGCCGGCGTAGCGGCCCACCTGCACCGGCTCGCCGTTCATAACGCCCTCCTCGAACTCCAGGTCCTGTGGCAAATCGGGTCATATGGTCAGTAAGGCAATCGCTCCGTCAGATAATAAGTTCGGCGTCCAGCCAAGAGACTGGAACATAAAGTATGAGAGAACTTATTCCGCTGCCGGCAGCAATTGACTGATAGCAAAGGATCTAAGGCCAGTTACCAATGCGTAAAATAATCAGCGACTACCCTCACTCCCAAATACGAGTTGGCATTAAGGAGCAGCCTATTGTTCTAGCCAAAGAACCCTGATCGCTCACCTCGACGACCATGCAGACCTCGGAGTCTCGGTTGCCGAGCAGGCTACGGTCGTTGATGTTTGCCGAGCCACAGATGACCGAGTCGTCGTCGACAATCATCAGCTTACTGGGAACACAGACCGACAGTCAGCGGTGGCACCACACGGTAGGGGGCCGAACCAGCGACCGGATCGAGTCATTACGGTTCTCCAGCCTGTCCGGAGACTTAGGGGCCAGCGGCCGGCTAATGAGGATACGGTACTGGTGGGCGATGACAGGACGGCCGACGGCCAACCGCGGAGTCACTAGCGCCATCAGCTCAGATCAGGATCACCAATAATACCAGCAGCAGCAGCAGCAGCATATATCATCACAATATACCAAACATTGGCACAATATCTAAAATTCAAACGTGCATTTCCCGTTAATTCGCGCACGTTCTGTGCACGTATATCCCACCTGTGCACGTAGATGAGCTCCGTGACGGGCTTCCCTCCCAGCTCCGAGTGTGTTCTCAGACCGTGGAAGCAGATGTACTGGGTCGGGTCAGCCACGCCGCGGTCTGTCAGACGGCTCAGCAGGCTGTACTGACCTCTGGCGGAGCGGGAGGAGACAAGTCAGTAACACAGACACACAGTAGGCTGAGCTGACCACTGGCAGAGCGAGAGAACACGTCAGTAACATAGTCAAACACACAGTAACACACGTCTGGTCCATCGGACGGCTCAGTAGGCTGTATAATTGGCCACTGGAGGAGCGAGACGGCACGCCAGTAACACAACCGAGCACACAGTAACACAACCGAGCACACAGTAACACAACCGAGCACACCGTCACACCGTAACACATCCGATACAAGCCACGGTTCGCCGCGCAGCAGACTGCACTGAGAGAACGAATGGGTACGTCAAACATGGACCATGAATGACACTCGTTAATGTGATTTTTCCCTTATTTCAAAGTTTCCTTATTTCAAAGTTCCTTGTTTTTTCCTTTCTGACAACAGGAGAATTACGGTCAACGGTCAGCACGAAGTGACAAATTGTGAATTTATCGCGTTGTAGACAGTAAAGTGAAAAGAGTGACGACTGGCTGTGGCACCACAAGTCAAGGACATCACTCTGACATCACGACATCACTAACCGGCAGATGGACGAGTAGTTCCAGTGGGTGATGGCCTGGATGGCCGTGCCGCCGGCGGTGCCCACCTGGCCCTCAAAGCCGGGCAGCAGCGGGATGATGACGTACACGCGGAACTTCGCTCCTTCCCTGGGAGGGGGGGGGGGGGACAAACATCAGTCAGAGGTAACTCAGCCGGTGCGATTGTATACTGATATGTTATGCATTAGTCCATAAAGTGTGTGGGTGGGGGTGGGGGGGGGGGCGGGGGGGGGGGGGGAGCCGATACATCGGATTCTAGTCAGTTTCGGTAATGGGCGCTGATAGCGTAACAGCGTGATATCTTTGACACCATCTTTACTGGAATTAGTAATTGTTTACATGAGTAAGGGGTTACTAGCTACCCGGCGGCACGATCCACCAATACCTCCAAAGGTCCTCAAGTACTCAGAAGTCAGACTACAACTCGTACGCTTGCGAGTTTGGGAGACACAAACCAACAGCAACAACACAAGAACAGTGGAAACGCTGCCCGCTCCCGTTCACCCGCACACCCACTTGTGGGCGCGCAGGATGCGCTGGAAGAGCGCCTCGCAGACCCGGTTGTTGACGTCGGCGTTGATGCCGCAGAGCGAGATGAAGAACTGGTTCTCCATGTAGATATAGTGCTTGGCGCGGCTGATGAGGTCGATGTACGCCTGCTGGATCGAATCCTCCGTGTCCTTGATGCCGGCCGACCACTGCGAGGCGCTGCGCACAATCTGGCGGCGCCGACACAGGTCACAGGTCAGAGGTCACAGGTCATTACGGAGCGAAGTCTTACGTAGAATAGTACATAGAAATTTCGCAATCTCGTTTGTCGCCCCAAAAAGGCGTTTTACTGGTATTAGGTTATAAGTAACCCAGTCACCACTTCAGTCACAGATTGGTCAAAGGTTAAAGCGCAGGACAAAGGTGACAGATCAAGGGACGTGGGTCAGTCCACACCACAGGTCAGTGGTCAGTCTGCCAACGACGCGGGTCACAGGTCAAAGAAAACGGACCAGAGAAACCGACATGTCACATGCCATCTTTCATAGATCATAGGCCTCAGCTCACAGGCCATCATTCATTGGTTACAAATCGCAGGCGTGCTTTATCGCCATCGTCACAAACCGCCATCGTTACAAATCGCCATCGTCAATCTGCTATCCAACAGTCACAAGCAAACACACATTATACAGCCCGACCGCCCTTATCACCCGCACACCACAGCAGTGGCGCCGCCATGGCTGAACACCACGCCGCCTCACCTGACACTTGGTCTTGAAGCTGGGCGTGGTAAGCACCTCGGGGATGGAGTCACACGTCTGGTAGCCCTTGGGCAGCAGGAACTCGTAGGCCGGGTTGTAGCGCAGCTTCTCCACCTGATGGGGAACACGACAGGGCCGGTCAGTGGGGGACACGGGGATTACAGTCGCATACATTGATATAGTGCAGGCGCACCTTATAATGGTTCTACCAGCATTTCAATACAAAGCGTACCAAAAATAACTAAATATTGAGCGGCAAGTGAGCCCACAGCCTGTGGTTGAACTATGCTCAGTAAGCCATTAACAGCGCTCTGTCAGTCGGTCTGCCGGCTCAGCATTGCTGCACGCCGTCCTCAACCCCTCCCGACCGGCACGCACCTTGATGGCGTTCCAGCGCTGTATGAAGTGTCGCGCCACGTCCCGCGCCGCGGAGCCTGTCACTCCCGTGGCTATGTCGTGCCAAGGCATCCGCGGTACAGACGCTCGGTCCACCAGGTCTGTAGACATGGGTTGGTTAGAGTCAGCGAGGGCGTACGCACCGAAGTCCCAGCCTTGAGAAAGACACATCTCGAACAGCCGATGGACACGTCTTATGCACGAGTCTTTCGAGATAGCAACGCATACACACATTCCCGTTCGTCCGAATATACGCCACACAACCAGGCGGCAGAAACTCACACAGTTGGAAAATGCATAGAGGACGCTCTGAACTGGATAAACCAATGAGTAGAGCTGGTGTCTCAGCCGACGTTATATACGAGGTCCGTGGGGGGTTTGCAAGGGTTATTGCAGGTGAGGGAGAGTAATAAAATCCGTTCATTTACCAGTGAACGGCGAGTCCACGGCGAAGTCCTTGACGATGAAGTTGGCGTAGTCCTTGCCGACCCACAGCTTGGCCTTGAGCTTCTTGACGCGCCTGGCGTCCACTCTGAAACGGTGGGTGCCGTCAGCAGAGCGTCATTACCGACAACAGGGATGGGGCGCGCCGCCAACACCCAGCAAAACGGACAGCAGCGGGCGGCAGATGGGTTTCAGTTATCTCCTGTCGCGCTAAAATTTTGGTTGGAAGAGTTCTCTGACTAGTGGTGCCAATTTCATGAAATTTCAATTCCAATTCCGATCCAATTCCAAGAAATTGCCAAGTAAATTTCCAATTTTGTCCAAAGCGGGGGCTATTCCAATTTTTAACGATTTTTGCATTTTTTGCGTAAATTTTAAGTGTTTAAAAGCGTTTTAAAGGCCTCCGTTTTAAAATTTTAAATTTTAAAGGCCTTGTGTTCCGATTAATTTCCAAAAAATGTTAAGAATTCCGTCCAAATTCCAAATTGGAATTGGACAAAAATTGGAATTCCAAGAAAAGAAATTCCGATTGGCACCAATATCTCTGACATTAGTGAAACCGACGCCTTTGAAATAATTAAAGCATGCTCTTACAAAATTTCCCCCAAAATACGCTGCGTCAGTCCAGCTATGAAACATCAGTAGATCGACAGCCGACAGCCAGCGGACTGACACAACACCGGGCCGTACTCACTCGTCGAGCATGCCGGCCTCTGCGGCGGCCACGGCGGCCATCACGGGCGCCGCCTCTGACTTGGTGACCGTCTCGGAGACGGCGGGCTCCTCCGAGGAGGCCGGACCGTCCTCACCGCCCGTCTCGTCCTCACTCCTGTCGGAGGGGGGGGGGGGGGACGGGCAGGGATATATCGTCAGTACCGGCACTAGAACACAGCCGCAGCACATCGGACGCTTTACTAGAATGGTCGCTCAGCACAGCTCTACAAGATTATTTACTAAAGGTAGACGAAGAACAACAGTCTGAGAAACACCCAAAATGCGACGTCCTTACAAGGCAAGCTCAACAGAACTTATGTTCGTCAAATGAAATACTTTTTCCTATTTGTCATACATTTCACGAACGCTCAACCTTCTTACCGTTACCTGAAATACTGCACAGCACAGAAAATACGTCAGACAGCCTTGGAAATCAACTTTGCCCCGTTGTGCTTATCTGCAAGAGCCTTCTGAATTTGACCAGCGAAGACAATAGAAAGGGGACAGCTCCGAAACATTACCCAAAGTATTTGATGACGACAGCCGGCGCATTCATCGAGACGCCTTCTCGAGCAAATAGACAAATAGGGAGAGTATAGCCCACTGGTCAGCCATATGCTGAAGCTGCGAAATTTCCCTTCATGGGAACAGAGAGGTCACACAAGACCCAAAGCAGCGGTTCATTTTTGCATTTCCATCAGCTTCAGAATAATGATTAGGAACCCGAAAGTTGAAAGAAAATCTCCCGAGCAAACTGATCAACTGAACGCAGAAAAGCCTCACTTTCAAACTAATGACAAGAGAATATCAAATATCAGTGACAAAGCCATCAACGACTGATCTGACGAACAGCCATCCAGGAAACATGCTATTGGCACTCGGCAGGCAAACACCAAACACGGCAAACACAACAGGCATGCAGGCGCTCCAGCTGCGGGTCAATGACGAACTAGTGGTGCCGCCGCCGGCCGGCAGATGTCACCACCTTCGGCCGCTGGGGTCGTAGATGACCTCTCTGCTCTCGGCCCAGAACGATCCGTAGTCGAAGCGCCGGGACCTAGCCGGGCCGTGTGCGGGCGGTGAGCACACACTGTTAGGCGGTGGGCACACTGTTGCAGTGCAGGCGGGGCCGGCCACTGAGGTGTTATGCTACACGGGTGAGAGGTCAGCGGGGCACCACGGTCCCATGGGGTGTTATCCCGTGTCCAAGGGGTCCCAGTCCATGGAGATCCTAAAATAGAGCTCAGTTCTGCCCGAGTGGACGAGTAGAGGCGTTTGGTACGGACAGGTGTTAAAGGGTAGTCATTACTTAACTGAGAGGCCGAGACAATTAACGTGGTGTCACCAAGCTTCACCAGACGTCACCAGACATAACCGGACTTCACCATTGACTAGAGGAGACGAAACGAAACAAGATTCGCTCACATGAACTTCCTTTTAAATCAGACAGAATCAATTAAAGGTAGTGTGCCAGCTTTCTTGGACCGTATGGAGTTAATGGCCCAGATAAGGAACCGGATTTTTAGAACTTATCCATACCTTCAAAACTCATGGAAACGTCTTAAATTCTTCAAATTTTGAGTACCCCAGTGCGAAATTCGCCCCGACGGGTTGTCGGTCGTACCCCAACCACATTTCACACCACTATGAACAATAAATGCACACACTGAAATCGCTATTACCGATATGCTCATCCAATCAAGTTTCGATAAACCCGTTCATCATCATCTCCTGCGGTTTCGAACACGCCTGTTAGGTGGCTTCTGATGCTCGTCGAGGTCGGAATTTCCAAATACGCGTGGTGCGTCGGGCCGCGCGCTCTGACTTCGGCCAAGAAAAATGCGTCAGCTGATCATTGTCATTTCTGCCACTTGCGTGTGGTGAAATGGGGTCATAACTTATAAGACGGCTTTTTCATATCAATTATTTTACATAAAATCATATTTCAAACCATAAATAATGTTCGACAGCCAAATAAAAGAAACAATACCAATACGGGCTTACAGTTTAAGGCTCGACATTGTGTTGTCTACGATTAGACAGCTGATAACTCATTCCCGTACGTCGTATGGTCGTAACACTATAATGACCTTTGCTTATTGTCACAAGTGCGCCGCATTCGCGATTGTTGCCCGACGCCTGTTTGCAGGTGAGCCCACTACAGTTGTTATACATATCTAAAAACCGAAAAACTTTTAGGCGAAAAAGGCACTATTCCAGGCCCATTTTTGATTTTTTTTTTGGGATATTAGGTAAAAACAGAAGCTTCTTATCCTAGGAAAAATAAAATGGGAAATCTTTCAAAGGTGGCACACTACCTTTAACTAACGGATGGCTTAATCTAAGTGTGTATAAGTAAATTCGAACATAAGACTGTCCCATTCGGCCGATACTTTGCCATCTGCGTCTTAAAACCGGTGAGCGGTTCCCGATGATTCTGTTTTATCTTGCTCGGCTGGGTCGTTAAGGTGATCTCATGATGATGAAGATTTGGGTGAAAGCACTTCTATACTTCCTGACTAATGATGTCATCAACACACACCGATGACAGTGATAGAGCAGAATGTACAAAAATAAAATCAAATAAAAACGGCAAAGCTGCGCGCAAAACTAACTACCCACATATGCAGTGATTGCACATTTTACGACTTGTAGTAAACGGTTGAATATGTGGCGAAGAAGCGTCAACTGACATGGAACATTTTGAGCGGACGGACGGCATGACCGGAGCCCGTAGTAACCAGAACTTATGACGTAGGTCCTTAGGTACCTCCGCCGACTTACGGATATTATTTTTAACCAGCTGAAGAACTAGAAAGAGAGGCTAAAAATAAACGCAGCCAATTAGTCAAAGTTTCATCTTTCTGCTAGCAACTGCGTCAGAAGGGCTGCAGGCTATTCTGTTACGGCTAACAAGTCCCCACTCTCATCGAGCGCAGGCGTCTAAGGGTCTTTGGGAGTGCGAGGTTATAAAAATTGAGGCACGCGATGGGCAGTGTCAAGGGCGAGGATGGCGAGTCAAAACTGGAGATAAGGAAACGTACCTAGATACAGACAATGCTCTTGAATCTAAAATTCAAGAGCATTGAATGAAGAGAAAAAAACAGCTAAAGCCATAATCTACGCAGCGCCTGTTCTTCGTATACCCATCAATCAAGTGTAGTTTCGTGCGCCGCACCTAACACCGATGTGTGTAAGCGCTACGCGGAACCATCGCAGTACGCTGATCGTTTCACTATCGTCGGGGAGATGGTCCAGGGAACACACTGCCATTGCACGTATTTACAGCGACTGTGCAGCGTCCGAGTACTGCAGTGGGTGCTGTGGCTGTATTGGGTGCTCATCGCGCATTCACCATGCCAACTGGCGGTGGATGCTCGCCATGCACTGACTAGCTACCTGAGCCGCAGTACTGTATCACGGGGTTGCGGCGCTACACAGTACGTGCGGCAGCCACACTCAGTGCGGCCGGCTGTGGGGCGGCGCCACACAGCGCGTGCGGCGATCACACTCAGTGCGGCCCGCCCCTGGCCACTCACACGGAGCTCTGACGGAGGAGCCGTCGGCGGCGCCGCCGAAATCTGTTGGCACACGGCCGTCACAGGGTGTCTGGCGCGCTCGGCGCTACCGGACGTCGCTCAGACAGCGCTGGGTACTCCCAGACAGCCGTGGTTAGCCGACACACGGAGAACAAACACTCGACACAAAACCAACATCACATGTTAGTCACAAAGTTAGGAGACAAACAGACGCGGTTAGTGTTTTATTGGGAGTGTCCCCGAGACCTGTTCCCTTCCGAACCACCCCATTCCATCCCAACCCATCCGCCCTATAACCTCACCTGTGAAGATGCCGCCGGCCCCGATCGGCCAGCTCGTGACTCCATACGCTGGCCACTTCGCGCATGCGCACCATGTTCCTGAGCAGTTTTCGCCGCTGCATGGGCGGCGTCTCGCCCTTCCTGGCGATCTCTCCGTCTTCATCGGCCTTCTCGGGTTCCGAGTCCTCCCGCGCCAGGGCGGCGTCCACCATGTCGACACTGGGAGCGCCGCGTCGGCACCGGGGGTTATCGGACTGAATGAGGCGGCGGCAGAGACAGGGGGAGAAAGGAAGGGAAAAGGAGGGAGGGAAGACATGGAGAATTACAGGACTGGAAGTCTGCGGATTTATCAACCAATTAAACGCTTTCAGGGAGATGCGCTTGCAATTGAAAAAAGTAGCGATTGCCGATTAGGAACAGGGACAAAGGAAAGTTTATTTGTGTGTGCAATTTTAAATAAGAACGCAGCTGTAAAACTGCGATGTAACGGGAAAGACGGTGTTGGATCAGGCCGGGTACCAACAGACATGCAAAATGCAAATGGGAACCACACCGATATGGAGCCAAATCACACACAAGCACAGTTCATCCAACCTTAACCCGGTAAAACTAAAAAATACGAGCGCACGTTTCACGTCTTTATGATAATTACTGATGCTCAAACACTTCTAACGCTTGAACAAACCGGGCAATAGAACACAAATGAAGCAAGCATCGCTCAAAAAAGTTTTTGAATGTCCAATGACTGGCAAATTCACAGGCCGTCAGGGGAACCATGCTCCGCAGAGGTCCTTTTCTCTGGAGATGGCACACTGGCGCCCGTGTGTAACTTTATCCCTGCCACCGATGGATAATAAAACGGAACCACCACCCGCATCTGAAACTTGTAAATACTGACTGGTGTCTGGCCTCAATCTCCTTACATATGGAAAAGGAAACTACAAGCATACTTACTTGGCTTTCATCTGATCAGGCAGTTCGTCACCCTATGAGAAGAAAAGAAATACGATTAACTATAAACAATACAAAGCGTTATTATTCCGTAATTGAATGTTAGATTATCATTAGACCTAAGATAAGGAGTAGTAGCAATAAGTGTGTAAACGAGCTGCAAAACACTTCAAATTAAACTCAGCTCATTACAACTGCCTTGCACTCAAAATAAATCCAAAGTTAGTTACAGCGCAAAGACCCTTTGGTAGTTTAGTTGGAATGACATTGTCTATGGGATGAAAAGAAAGATAACGTAAACACAATGTGTAAAGCCGCCCAAAACACACCGGACCTGCCCCAGCACTGCCTTCTCTCACCTGTCCGGAGACAGTGCCGATGGTGACCAGGTTGGTGCCCTGGGCCAGTGCTAACAGTGTGAGCGGCAGCTGAGAGCCGGCTGGTGTGCTGGAGGTGACGGCTGCCGTCTGGAAGTGGCCCGACCGCTCCAGGTCTCCCACACTGCCCTGGTCCACCAGCCTGACGGTCCGGAACAAACGCAGTCGACGACCGGGGTGGACACAGGACATGGGTGTTAATTGTTCAGGCTTACTAACAACGTAATTAGCAAGACGTGAAGTGAAATTGATGTAAATGAGTTTATTCTTTCGTCCTACAGTTGAGATCTCCGCTGGGCCCTCCGCACTAATCGGGGGTATTATCTCTCACGATTCCCCATAGATTAAAAATGAGACATCCCCGGTATAACACGACTAGAGCCTACCTCACTTCTATCGCGCCTAGATTAGACGATCATTCTGCCTTATAACACGCAGAAAAGACAATCATTCCTCCTCCACAACAGATAGGCACCCATCACCCGCCTCCTAACCTGTGGAAGTGGTCGTCCCAGCGTCCGTAGCAGAGGTCGATGCCGCCGACAAAGCCGTAGTTCTGGTCGACCACCACCAGTTTCTCGTGGTGCGCCCAGAAAAGCACCGCCGAACTGGCGTGATCCGGGTGACGCATCACCTGGCGGCAAGGAGGTGATCTGTCTGAGGCTGTTCGGTTCAATAACGCAGCGAGGCAGCTGTTTGTCTGAGGTGATAAAACGTCACAAAAGCGTCACCGAGCGGTGCGTTGGGTTGTTTCAAACAAAAACTGTAGTCTAAGGCGAGATGGCAGTGTGTCTAAGGAGACGTCTAAACAAGGCTGATGCAATGCGACCATCCAAGTGGAAAACACAGCGACAGACCAAGGACGCTGGTTTATTATTTAGCAAATGAAATGCAAGATGTTATCGAGCCTGTTACCAGAGAGCTAGACGCTATGCATCTGTAGTCGGAAAACGTTGAATGGCTGTGCATCAGAAAGTCACCACAAAAAAGCTCTTAACCACGAATAACCAGGCATCAGAAAGGGCAAATGAAATAAATTCCAAACGGTTGCAAAAAGTAAAGCCATCCCGGGAAGCGTGATATATAATAAAGGCAGATATAAGCATGCATTCAATTTTGTAAAGGCTTTGAGTTGCCACCAAAGGTCATATTGCACATTGATATGAAAAGGTCGCTACAACATAAATGCTGTTCATCTGTAAAACATCGCTATCTGAGCCTGCCATACCTTCGCATTGACGCTCGCTAAGGAGCTTCTAGGCACTGACAAGCAAACTGAATAACCAGTTTTCCCGCAACGTCCCATGTTTGCTAGAGTCAAGATGTCTGTACAGCTATGGTTTTTTTTTCTCGAATAATCGCTCTAATGTCGCTCCATCGGCCATTCGCTGGAGTGGCTACATCCTTTTCAGCTCATGACTTCTTCCACATCTTGGCTAGACGCACTAATTCATCATTTGTGGCATACTGCTCTTCCCTTGCTTTCATTTCACCCGGCTGTTTACGTAGATTTAGTGTAAAATTACAACAAAGAGCAGTGAACAATTACTGCGGAATTTAGCATTTTGTATATTTCGTTATTTGCCGAGGTAAAGATCAAAGCTGCAGCATCCAAAATTTTACCTGCTTATAATAGTCCTGCTTCTTTAGGCATAAAGAGCGTTGTTTCTCAATTCTGTGGTTGGGATTTGGACGACTTTTGCCAATTTAGTGATTTCCCATACCTGCTACATTGCATGATTAAATCGAGACATCCAGGCATTTAACCCGCGCCCCAGTGGCGGTCTCAGCCAACTTCGCCCTAGTGGGGGGGGGGGGGGGGCATATGTTACCACCCACCTCTAACTCAAAAACTCAAAAACTAAGAGGGCTAGAAAGACGCGGTAAAAAGCAGTCGATAGCTCTCAATGCGTAGGTACGTTTGGAAATATATCAGTCATTTTTCATCTTAGAGCAACATTGGGGTCACCAGAGGTCATCAAAGGTCAAAATTTGCCAATGGTCATTATATTTTTCAGAAAACATGCCGTTATCTCAGGAACTATGGTAGCTAGAAAAGCGCATGGAAAAGCAATCGATAGCTTTTAAACTCTTCTTTTGATAAGGTCATTATCAAAATTGACCTCAGGTCAACGGTTTAGCCTCCAGAGGGCAAAAACTCCAAAAATAGCTGTTTTTCCGAAAAGTATTTTTCGACAATAACTTTCGAATACAAAAAGTCACGACATTTCTATTGCTAGAATAGTGTTCCCCTCGCCAAGACGCGTCGAATGAACTATAATTTGACCTTGAAAGGTCAACTTGAAAATTTGACCTCAGGCCAAGGTTATGACCTGACCGGAAAAGGTCATGTTGCATATCAGTCGATGCGTCTCGGCAAGACAAACACAATTAGACCATCCCCAGCGTTCTATCTCTTTCCAATCGCGAGTTATTGGCAAAAAAACTGTAGCCTCAAATGACCTCGGATGACCTTTCTAGAAGCTATCAGCAAAAATGACACCTTGGTCATCACGGGTGGTCCAAATCATTGTGATTCTGAAATATTTGGACTGTTCCTATGCGTACACACGGATCTAGAGGCATTTTCATTTTTCTCCATTGACTTGTAATGGAAAGGTCACGCCACTGACCTGACCTTAGGTCACGGATATAAAAAATCCGAGATATACAAATTGTAGACGCCCAAACCATCATGCAATCCACCAAGTTTAAAACCTTTCTGACAAACACTGCAGGCTGGACATGATTGCAAACTTTTTTAGGCTTTGTCAGTTAACTTGACCTGGTGACCTGACCTGACATGACCTGGGGTCAAAAATTTCACACATTGTCCAAAATTGATGTACCAAAAGCTACCTAAGCGGCGCGGCGCTACGCGCCGCGGTTTTTTATTCACACGCAAAAAACGCGACAGGGTGGTAACATATGCCCCCCCCCCCCCACTGGGGCGAAGGTTAAACGGCACGTGCACTGTACCAGACTTATGAAGATTAAGAATCGTAGCCTCATAATAAAGTGAATATATTGCCGAATATAATCCAATCAAGTAAGACCCATTATGCATTGCCCGAAACTGTCGTCTCACTTGATTGGATTATATTCGGCAATATATTCACTTTATTATGAGGCTACGGTTCTTAATCTTCATATTTTTTTACAATGAGCCTCAAGAAAGCGCTTACTAACATTGTACCACACTTTTCAAAGTTTAATTCAATCACAATGCCATGCTTTAATATTAGGGGAGAGTGGTGCAGGAGGCCCCCCCTTAAGCTCAGTTGCTATTCTTAGACAACTGATAATATTTAAGAGCTAACGTGTGCATGCGCTGTGAGCATGCATCATTTTCCCATACATATTTGCATTCAAAATGAATCTAGGGGGTACACAAACCGTAAACTTTAACATTTTGGAAAAAGTTGCAAAAGGGCCTCTTACACTATGGGTATGGTAAGACGCCCCCCCCCCCCTCGGGCGTTTTACAAGTCAAGTCGACTTGTAAAAGACGCTTTGCGAACACAGCTGCAAGGCCTTTTATTTCGAAAAGCTAAGCAAATACTGTGTTATCGAAACCAATAACACTTCCAAAGCGCTCGAACAATGCGAAAACTAGCACAACCAAACGCTGATGACCAACGAAAATTGTACCTATTACCTCTAAGAAAGGAAACAGAAAAAAGAAACAAAAACAAACTCCTTGAAAAAAGAATGCCACGCCTGCCGCAGGCGCAGGCGTTTTAGCATCGGGGGCGTTTTTATCGGGGGGCGTTTTATCATCCTCGAAGGGAGGGCCTCTTAAAAAAAATGCAGTGTTTTAACGTCACAATATTTATGGTTTATGAGACATTTGCAGCGCACCAGAACATGGTCTATTCTGAAGCTAACATGTGACAATTTCGATGAGATAAGATTGCATTTGATAGCCATTGTTTTTTCAGACATATAAGGGTGATAAAGATGCATATATCTAGCAAGTAAAGGGGCAAAAACAGAAACAGGCTTACCAAAAGTCGCTGCGACGCACCTGATACCTCAGGTTTCGTGAGTTGTTGTTTCAAGAGGGCTTCTGCTTTACAAGAACATTAAAAAATAAATAACATTATTGGTTTGGTAAAAAAAGCGATGGGGCCTCTTACCGACCCTGGGCGTCTTACACGGATCTCCCCTACAAGCCGTGTGGTTCAAGGGGTGTGGTTAAACACGTTGAACCACACGGCTGCTGACGTCACTATCATATAGTTGTGAGCTTTTTGGCAGATATGGGAAGCACCTTCCAGCCCTAAGGCCGGGAATTCAATAAATGTCACATCGCCTTTTTTAGCAAAATCACCTCGGGCCTAACGGCCCTCGGAGTTTTCGCTAAAAAACCTCGGTGACATTTATTGAATCATCCCGGCCCCGGGCAGGAATATATTGCCAGTTACAGAAAATCAGAATACCGATACCAAACCAAATACCAACTAAAACCATCGAAAAATACCGAAACCAAACCAACTTCGGAATGCCAGGAAAATGCCTACTTTTTACCAAACTAACAGCCTCCTATACATAAGTGAGGATTCATAATACCAACAAAATACAAAAAATATTAGGATTGAAATACCAAATACCAAGTTGGTATCGGTTTGGTATCGGTATACCAAAAAGTCGGTATCCGATTGACATCTCTAATTCAGATCGCCGAACCTGTACTGTGTATTACGACTGAACTGCCGCTGAAGGGCCGCTTATCTGTCCATCGACGATTGAGACGCGGCCGATATCGTCCGGACGGCCCGCCCAGTCCAGCACCGCACGCACAATCAGTCACGGCACGCGTGCACGGGCCCACGATCAGACGAGCACGGGCTCGATTGGAGCAAATAAACATCCACACGCAGAGTAAACGTTCCTGAGCAACAATATTGACTATAGGAAGGTTCCAGGAGGCTTGACCGAAACAAGATGAACACCATTCGCGTTACGTAAAATACGGAAGTTATAAGAAGCAATGCATGCAAGTGAATAGGAGTGAATTTCTCGATGGCTTCCTGAACTTCGTGAATCGTGGGCTTTACTGGTAGCAGTCTGTATCCAATCCATTTTTCATGTACTAATTATTTTTAAACTTTCTGCTCCGATAGTATATAAACATGCTAGACAAGAGTCCGATACCGTTTCTACCCATGCGTTACATGAGCTCAAGCGACAAATCAACCTTTCGTCACGCTAAAGACACAGCTGTCAAACAAACCTTGATGTTGTCGTGCTGCATGAGCTTCTGCTTGCTGTAGAAGCTGTTGATGCCGAGCGCCATCTCCACCTCCTTGTACAGCATCACGTACACCTTGACGCCTTGTTTCTGAAACACAGAAACCGACATATTAAACTGCGGGGCCCGGTATGTTACTCGTCGAAATTACGTCAGAAAGAGACATACATGGTGTAAGAATGTAAAAAGGATTTCCAAACAATTACGTTCGATGAAATACGCATCGATTGTACAAGTATTTCTAAGCTTCTGGCATTAACGAGAGTCAGGGCGAATTACGTTAATCCATCGAGGTATTGCAAAGTGATTGGGGACTGGGGTGACTGACTGGGGACGTAATGGAATCAAATTCATTATAATCCAAAATATATCATGAATGCATTTCCAGCGAAAGTTCTTGAAAATTTATCTTCAAGACACATAATGTCAAATCAAAAGGTCAGGCCCATGTATTTGTCCGACTTAAACTAATTGAAACCTGCTAGGTGCACAAGTTTGCAGTAGACCTTTTAGCCAAATGAGCCGAGAAGCAGCATATAACACGGTGGTAGTGTGTGTCTGAGTGTGTGTGTGGGGGGGGGGGAGGGGTTGTGTGTGTGTGTGTGTGGGGGGGGGGGGGAATATCGCAGCCAGTCAGAGGCGCCACCACTAACCGCTTTGCGCAGCAGGATCTGGTCGAGCCGCCAGTACTGCGAGTCGAGCGCCGGCCGCTTGAGGAAAATCTCCGGCGACAGCCACCAGTCGGTGATGAAAATCTCCTCCCGGGCCGCCTCCATGGCGTCCGCCACGTCACGCATGTAGTCGCTGCCGTCCACGTACCAGCGCGCGCGGCACGAGCAGTCGCGCACCGGAGCGAACGACTCGTACCGGTTGGCGTCGACAAACTGTCGGCCTGCGGAGGTGGAAAAAGGACAGCGGTGGGACGTGACTGCAGATGGCGAAATGTGGAATATTGTGGTTAGTGAAATGACTACACTTTTGATTAAATTTGCGAATACGAATAAAGCAATGTTTTATATTGTGACCCAGTTCTTCTAAACTTTTGGCATTGGACAAAACACGAAATACGTTGAGCTACTGTTTACTAAAGGTCGTACTTGCTATATTAATGCAATGATTGACACATCATCATCATTTTCGACAACTTCGCATGACTCTATTACTTGTTACGTTATTAGATCCTTCGAGTTAGAGCTTTGAAGCGGCGAGGACGTTACATTAATCAACACACAGGGTGAAGTGAACTAAATGCCCCACTTCAGACATTTTCTGTGATTCAGTGAAAGGCGCGCAGAACTTGCTACCCAGTACCCACGTCAGTGTCCCGGCGCCACCGGCCACAGTGCCATGCGTAATGAGCCGGGTAACTGATACCACCGATCTGACGAGCCCCGTCCGGCGGGCAGGAGAGGGGTAGGGGAGGGCAGGGGAGCGGAGCTAACCCGTACCGTCGGTTCGGCGACACGCTAATGGTCAGACACATGATATCGCCCCCCGCCCGCAAAGTAATGATTATCGGGAACCGAGCCGCTGCGCCGCGCCAGCGTGGGCCGACCTCACGTTTACGGCGGCCACACACGCGGTTCAAACCGGTCCAGTACGCCCGCGGGAGGGGCCGCGAGCCCCTACATGTCCCAATGGTGTCATCGAATCCCAATCCCAATGGTGTCATCGAATACAACGAGAGAGCGGGAAGTGAAACACGGCGAGTTCGGCCTACAAGTTTTAATTTGTTCGATTGTAATTCTGGAGCCACTCATATATCAACACGCGTAGGCATGCTTCAACAGTAGTGAGCGATGGTGCTTTTAAGGATAAAATCCATTAAGCTCGTACATCAATGCTTCAGTGCCTTGCAACTGGGATAGGTAGTTAGTAAAATGAACTTGATCTGACTATGCCGTGTTTGATGGGTATGATGAAGAGCCTAGTATACGAATACTGCATGGGGGAGCGGGCAATAGCAAAAAATATTGCCCGATGTGACGTCACTGTCGCCCGAGGGTGAAGACCGAAACAGGTGCTATTGCCCGAGGCGAAGCCGAGGGCAATAGCACTTGTGGAGGTCTTCACCCGAGGGCGACAGTGACGTTACAGAGGGCAATATTTTTGCTATTGCCCGCTCCCCCATGCAGTATTCGTTTTATTACATGGCCAACTCTCGGAATCTTTACTTAGTAGGTACTCATTCATCCCGTAATAAAAAATATCCAAACACAAATATCATGGTACAATTGAATGTATTGGATATACAATCATAGCCACGTCACATGTCTACGACTTTGAAGGCTTCTGCGCCGAGTGGGAAGTTCCCTTCATCGCTGATATCCTTTTCCATCGACGTGAACAGGTACTGTTTCACGCCGTACTTGAGTGTGGAGACTCTTCGATTTGTAGCGTTCACCGTCCTTGCCTTTTACAGTAATGAAGAACTCCTTCACAGCGTTGTCCAGGACATCGTTGCTGTGCATGCAGCTTTCAACAGATATGCCTTTTACTTGCAAGAACTCAATGAAGACGTCTTCTGCTGATTTAATCACATTTTTAGTGCCCTGAGCCCTGCGCGTTGAAAATAGCTCATCCAATTCACGCGGCTCCAACAAATTAAATCGGGGTATTTGAACGGACATGTTCAAATGACGGCCCAGTTCTTGATGACTTGACTAGCCAATCACGAAATCAAACTGAACAGTCTGAGAAAACGACGATAAAATTACGACATTTGAATTTTTGTTCAAACACCACTGCGCGAGCAACTTACTATTGACCGTTGACATGGCAACCGCTTCTCACCTTCAGAAAGGTCAGTAACCTGACACTGAAAGGTCAGTAACCTGACACTGAAAGGTCAGTAACCTGATGCCGGGCAATAGTAAAAAATATCTCATGCCAAATTAACACAGGAGCCATGTAATAAGAAATGTTGCTCTATCACGAGTAATGTTATCAGCCGGAGGATAACCGCAGAAGGCAGCACAACAAGCAGCGAAACACGAACAGAGAGCTGACACGAACTGACCTTCAGCGCGTCAATCGGCTTCTTTGTCTTTGTTGTGGGTGACATTCATATGTAACTGCAACCAGACTGACTGTTTTTAGTCCTACTGCATCCTATGATACAGGGACTTTCGAGTAATTAATTACTGTTATATTTTTCACAAAACCTTTAATTAAAAAAAGTATGCAAAGGCCTTCAAAGATTCATGATTGTCAAACATAACTATTGCCGCCACTTCAAATAAACTTCGTGAGGAAGAGCGAGGGGAGAGAGAGAGAGTGAGAGAGAGAGAGAGAGAGAGAGAGAGAGAGAGAGAGAGAGAGAGAGAGAGAGAGAGAGAGAGAGAGAGAGAGAGAGAGAGAGAGAGAGAGAGAGAGAGAGGGGAGGGAGGGAGGGAGAGGCGGAGAGACCCACCATACGTCTCGAGCGAGAGTTTGAGCGCGTCCATCCACTCCTTGGCCTTGCGTTTGGTCCAGCAGGAGACCAGCAGGTTACGGCTCGAGTTGACGATCGTCAGCGATTTGGCCGTGTCCGAGCCGAGGATGCCCCGGTTCACGTCCCAGCCATTGTCCATCAGCATCACCTGAGTCACATCAGAGGCGGTCATAACTATTACCGGGACTATACCACAGTCTGTCAGAGCTACCACCTGGTCACACCAAAGTCGGTCAGAAATATCACCTGGGTCATGTAGTCCGCTGAAAATACCACCAGTGGCCGTATTCACAATCACGGGTTAAGGGCAGGGGTAGGAGTAACGGGTAACGGGCCATTTTTATGGCCGTATTCACAATCGAAGTTTACCCCTGATGGTTGGCGGTCGCCCGGCGCCACGCAGACGGCACCTGGCAGGCGTGGTGCCGTCTGTGTGGCGCCGGGCGGCCATCAGGGGTAAGCTTCGATTGTGAATACGGCCACAAAAATGACCCGTTACTCGTCACTCCTACTCCCTACCCTTGACCCAGGCCATGATTGTGAATACGGCCACTGGGTCACATCAGAGCTAGGCAAATTTATATCAAATGGTCACATCACAGTGTGCACGAGTACGAGTTAGCTATTCCTTTCCTGATCATCATTACAAGTCCGGTTACTGCCGTCATTAGCAATGCCGTCATTCGTCAATAAATGCTAAAATCAGGAAAATGTGACCTCATGCGACATGAATAACATATTACAACGATGTTTTCTTGCCTTCGAACGCCGCTAGCCGTCAGGTTCGTAATTACAGCGGAGGGGCTCTCACCGAGTGCAGTGTTCCGTCACGCGGCCGGACGTACGCCACGTACGTGTCCTTCACGATCAGCCAGCGTTTCCGCCACAGGGCAAAACAGTTGGCCGCGCATTTACGGCACCTGGCGGCAGGTGAGGTGGGCGTCGGAACGGCGCCTCGGAACCGACAAACAGCGGCAAGCGACAGCAGTGATGCATAGTGGAAGCACGATATTGGGCGTGACATGTCGCGACGAGCCGACATGAACGATGTCGGCAGAGCAGGAAGTGACTATTGCGATCAGTTTCAACCACTTGGTCTACAATAATAAGCACCAAGGGTGACAGGACAGGAAATGACCGGAATTAGCTGACACCTGTTCACGGTGCTTTATACAAGGCTAGGGGTAGGAGTGAGTGTTGTTGCGACTTGCGGAGCTGTCCACTTGTCTCGAATGACTGGGCCGATATGCGTCTCACTTCGTCGGACGGGACCCTTATGAATCTTGCCTCTGTGCGCTGATATTTTGAGGAGTTGGTGAGCCTAGAACACGTTTCCGTCTATGTACGCCGTTTGGGTGCGTTATCGGTTCCTGCTGATCTGTCGTTGAAACCAAGCAATTTACCGTTATAATGTTAGTGGTAGGCGAATGGATGCCCTACCTTTCCGAACAGCTTGCCATATTATTCTAAGTAACTTAACTTGACCTGACCTATGACCTCATGTATCATTGGACACGGTTGGCGTTGAAACGCACGACTTCCCCGGCGGTCGGCGATTCGTATCAGTTGTTTACAGACATTTCACAAGCGCGGCACCCGCCACCCGTACTGCCAAGCCCACACATGGATTAGCAGCCCACACATCACGAAGCTTTCCAAATAGCGAACCTGGGACTGAGTCACACATGAACTGCGTCATTTCACAGCTGCCAGTACGCCGGCTCAATGGCTTCTCGTTCCGCTGCATGATCGGGGAGTGTGCAGGCTGATGCACTGCTGAATCACCGCCCAAAGCTTTTCCCAGTACGGTGTTTACCCTTACAGGAACATAGCGCAGCTAGCTGCTCTTTTAGTTTGAAATCTGAGAGGCTTACAGTCGTATATTGGTAACGGTATTGGAAACACTGTTGCCGCAGCGAATGGACCTTTCAGGCGGGCGTAAAACATGAGAAGCTTGACGACATTTGAAACAAATATGTTTTTTTGTTTTTTCTTCTTTTTTTTTGATACAGTTCCTTTATTCACCTATGTATGACACCGATTCACAGGATATTCATTAATGCTTAGCAATACCCAATGCTGCTGCTGGTAGTGGTACGATCTACCATTTTCATACGGCAATGGGGACACTTTTTTCATCAACTTTGTTTGTACCCTTTTTTCCCCTCAGCCCGCTGCAATCTATCTAACCATGAACAAGGCGGCACGACAGCGTAAGCGGCACCCCTTCCCCTCCCACTGCAGCCCGAATCTACTTCGGGCGACGTCCTCGCGCGCCACCCGCCCTCTTGGCATTGTATTTTCCTCTCCGGTCGAGCTTCCCCGAGCTCGACCGGGGAAGAGCTAATATGTTTGTTATATGTATTCTAAACATGATGCAAAAAAGCCTGAGAGGTAAAGTTCAAATAAAACAATCCAGACGGCTAGAAATTGCCCCTGCTGATGCAGAAGCTTTCTTATGCCATTAACCAGTACTTTTCAATTTAACTATCGTCTAAATAAGCGATTAGCCGCGAGAAATGAATACCGGACCAAACTGGATTTTTGTTCCATAGCCATAGTCAGTACGCGGAAAAGTTTTTGCCCGTGGTAAGGTCAAATCTGGAAACGAAATCATCGCGAAGACACGATAAAAGCCTGCTAATGCTGTTGGGATGGGTGAATGCCACTAAATGGTGTCCCGGCCTCCCGTGTCGCCGGTCGGCTGGCAGTGGGCAGCCGAGCGACGGAGATACTGTGGCCAGCAAGCCAGCGGCCTAATGGACACCGGACATTTCGGCGGCCTGTCTCTCAACGACAGAGGCAGTGACAACTGGATCAGACTTGTGACAAAAAAAAAACTTGACCACTGGAGCAGACCTGTCAATGGCAAGAACATGACGACCAAAATTACTTTATTCATAGTGTCGACCACATCAGACCTGTAAGCGGAAAAAATCTACGAACTAGCTCAGTGTCTTTCTTTATGCATGCAGTCGTGCCATCTCGCAATTTAAACTGCGTTCAGTAAATATTTAAGCCGGCCAAACTCACGGCTCCATCAACCCCGAAAGCTCAGCTGTCTTAATAACCTCACGGATGTAAGTCGTAATGATTGACAGTCTGGGTGGGACCCCGACCCAACACAGGCCCGTCCCTGTTTACCCTAAGCCCGGTATCACCAACTCACTTGAAGCAGAGTCCGCAGTAGACGGGTCCGCGGTTGCCCTGTTTGCTGCCGACCCGTTTCCGCACCAGGCCCTCCTTGCCCTTGATGCCCAGCTCGTGCACAAACGACCACTGCGATACTTCCAGGAAGTCCAACTGCCGGCGAAACGCACCAAACGGTCAGAAAATAGCAACACCATCAACTCTGGAAGAGAACTTGACACTTGCACACAACAACGGTAATTCACAGAGGCAGGCCTAACAGATAAAACATATTATAATTTGAGACGGAATAAAAGCGGCAGCGCACGGTAGGACAAACAACATCATACGGCATGGCAGCTGGATGGACAAAAGAGGCAAAAACTGATATGCCGTATAATCATATCAGATGACAATGGAGAGTGTCCCCCGGCATCCAGGTGGGAGTGCTAAGAGTCAGACCACCGAGGAGGGAGTGCCCAGACCACCCAGAAGGGAGTGCCCAGACCACCCAGGAGGGAGTGCCTCGGCCGGCGGAGAGTGCCCGGGCCGCCGAGATTGTCCCGACTGTCAGGGCGTTCCCGGCCGCCCGCCGGTCGCGGCGCGATGCTCACCATGTCGTGGTGGTTTCGGTACAGCCGAGAGCGCAGCACGGCGTTCAGGTAGTCCTCGAGCTGCTTCATCCGCTCCGGCAGCTCGTCTTCCGTTAGCATCGAGTCGCCGCGCTTCGGCATCCTGGTGAAAAAAAAAAAAAAACAGAAAATGTCGTCAGCACATACCGACCTAAGCGGACGCAGCGGTCAGAGGAAGGCAGATGCAGACACAATCGTCAGCGGACAGCTGTAAGCACAGACATAGCCGTCAGCGGACAGGACATACACGGACGAAACCGTCAGAGGAAAGCAGATACAGACACATTCAGTCGGTGCATAGGAGATACAGACACAGTCGTAAGCAGAATGGACATACACGGACGCGTCCATCAGAGGGAACCAGATACAGACCATTCGTTGGTGAACAGGACATACAAATTACAGACACAGTCGTCCACAGACAGCAGACCGAGAGGAGTACAGAGATGTCGGCTCCGAGTCCTCCGACAATCAGCCAACGGAGTGTCCGGCAACGCCGCCTACTAGACTGGGTAGGGAGCGTGGACTGCCTTTGATACTGCCCCGAGTACGGCGAGGTGTTCTCTTACAACCTGGGATATTGACCTAGGTATAGTGGGGTGCTCTACACTGACACAGGTATGGTGGACTGTTCTCCATACTGACCTGGGTAAGGTGGGCTGTTCTCCATACTGACCTGGGTAAGGTGGGCTGTTCTCCATACTGACCTGGGTATGGTGGGCTGCTCAGCACTGACTGACCTGGGTATGGTGGGCTGTTCAGCACTGACTGACCTGGGTATGGTGGGCTGTTCAGCACTGACTGACCTGGGTATGGTGGGCTGTTCAGCACTGACTGACCTAGGTATGGTGGGCTGCACTCAGCACTGACTGACCTGGGTATGGTGGGCTGCACTCAGCACTGACTGACCTTGGGTATGGTGGGCTGTTCTCCATACTGACCTGGGTATGGTGGGCTGCTCGGCACCCTTGCGCTCCATGTACGTCTTCCTGCGCAGCTTGTGGTGCCGCGTGCCGAACGGCAGCCGCATGGCGGTGCGGAACAGGCGCAGCGACTTGTGCAGGCTGCTGAAGTGCTTGTACCGGCGCCGGATAGTCCACTGGAACGAGCCATGCTGGCACTCGATCACGTACCTGCCGGAAATCGTACGACGCTCAATGGACTTCAATGAAAGCAGTCAAATGTCAGCAGAGGGTATATAAAGATTAACAGCAAACTAGTGTGCTGATCAGAGCAACTTAACACTATTCACAAACACCAGTAGCAATGAACTGCCCCCGTACCGCAAAGGGAAATTTTGCACGTCCACACCTAAGTCGATTGTGATTTGTAAATATTTCATCAGTAAAACACTACACACGGAAAATAGTTCGAATCGCGTACTCAGGAAGGTTCGTTAGTCTGATTAACTATCAGAAGAGGAAAGATCAGCGCTGAGCACGCGGACTCCCAGCTGACCGGGTACATAGGTATAGCCAGCGCCGCGACCCTGCGTGAGTCAGCGTATCCGCACCGTTCCTTATCAGACGGGGCTAATCTCGAGCGTTGGGACAGGGGACGCAGGCGGTGCTGCGGCCACCACAATCCCGCTCAAATGTTACCAACCAAAATTATTGTGAATGCAGAAGCCTTGTCGGGACGATTACGGCTTTGAAATCGATATCATTTTAACTGTTGAACTCTGTACAATAAAGTAAAGAGTGTATGTACAAAGAGTAGGTGAGCTCTGTACACCAGAAACTGAGTAGATGCACAGGGGTCTGTGTTTTACCACAATAACATGCATGACGGAAGCAGCGTAGTCAGAGTTGGAGAACGAAAATCCCCGATCTGTAGAGCAAGGATGCCCCGCCGGTAAGACACAGGTTATTTGGGATATACGCTGTCTCTAGGAGCCTTATCTGGTGGTGACTGGCATGGCTGAAGCATATTTTTTGTTGAACCCGGGCGGGCAGTTCCGTTGGGCGCTGAAACCTGATGCTTTTAACACAAACTGAGTTCCACCAGTTTTCCCGGTGTATGTATGACGTGTTAATCGAGCCAGACGTGTTTTCCTCGTGTCAATCACATGAGTAAAAGGTGTGTACGCTAATCGGTCGAATGATCGCGGCTTTAAAACAGCTGTGGCGTACCAATTTACCTGCTAAGTGACGCGAAATGGAGCAGCAAGCACACGGGGTTTAAATCATTGATCGAACATTTCATTCAGCTGCTCACTCATGCACGGAGAGCTAGAGAATCCTTGCAGACGTTGATGGTACTGGACGGGCGAAGTTAGCCGGCTGGTTGCACTCCATCCCTGGGCCTGACGTGTGACCATTCCGGACGGATGAATCGTGTAATTTCCGCAGCCCGGCTCGCTTACAGCACGTTATGGTACGGTGCATACGGTTCAGTGCCGTACCCGTACCACCAGGGCAAACTAAGGCACATCATACTATCGCACAGTACCAACAAAGCACGGTGCATACCACAGCAACCACGGTAGAGTACCGGTCTCGCGGGTTTTAGCGGTAGGTTTTGCACCTAGAAAATTTAGTGTACTTCAGGCTATATCTTCGTCGTCTTAAGCTTTTAAGTGTTGAAGGTGCGATCGACTTGTTGGTTCACAAGCCGGCCATGATCGTGTAAAATGGCTTCATCGTAGATCGATTAGTTTCTGAGATATAACCGGAAATGTAAAAGTGCAAACCACCACCGTCACGATACCACCACGCCCCGCCGGCACTGTCCGCCCGCCTCCCGCCGGTACTCACAGGTAGGGGTTGAGCAGATGTGACGTGCTGGTACGCTCGTACTTGGTAATGGTACACCGGATCGGCTGGCTGGGTATGAAGCAGCGCCGGTTCACCGACTTGAAGTCCTCCGGCGGTGCGTGGATGCTCGAGAACGGCAGGCTGCGCTTCGCTGTGAGGGGAGCGGCGGGATAATTAGAGGGGTGGGCGTCGGTCGGGTTCAGGAGTCACAGCACCACAGAACAGTTCAGCATAGCACAGCACAGCACAACACGAAACAGCACAGCACTGCACATCTAGTCAATGGTGACTGGATATGAATATCACCGTTCTGCTAATAAACTGAGCCCAGCTTTTTCGAGTAGGTGTATTCCTGAAATCAAATGAGGACAATTCGGGTAGACGATGGATTTCGAAATTAAAGATGATCCTAGGATTTCTGGGATAAAGGTGATCTCCAAACACCCGGAAAATCTCGGTGGCCGGAAGAAACCGTCAATTTATTTTGGTCTAGGCGGTCAGTGCCGACCGTCTCCGTTGGCGGGAGTGGTCTGAAAATAACCATCCCCAAATATTTATTACAAAACGTTTTCAAAAAAGTAAAGACACGAAAAACACGAATAGGAAAGAATGAAAAGAAAAATAAAAAAACGAACCACATGGCCGCATTCAACCGCAATGATACCTACGTCGAAGCACTAGTTAGTCCCTTTTTTAAAGTTATAGTTCTAAAACATGACTTTTACCGATATCATTTCGCGACGAAAAGCATCCCCGTCAAAAAGCATAGGTACATACATTTTCATTTTGCAATATAGTTTGCATCGAAATAGACACTGTATACAATAAGTGTACAAAAAAGGCGGTAAAGTTATTCGAATGAGTGAGAAAAATGTCACGGGTTTATCCTTGAACTTATTGTGAGTTTCATTAGCGAGTGTTGCTAACTCCCTTTTCCCTTCTCCAGTTTTCGCAGCGTGACGCATCAATTTCTACTTGTTGCGCCCGGATGGATGCACGGACCGTGAGCCCCCATAAAACATTCGGACTCAGTTAATAAAAAAAATGTGCCTAATCGCAACACGTCCAGCTGTAAAGCGCAGTGTGACCGATGTCGGTACCACTGTATTAGCTCGCTCAGTTCCATGATTACGTCCTGATAAATGGCTCAACGAGTTGTTCTATCAAAGGGGCTGTAATAACGTTTGATATTGTTTTTGTTTTACGTTTTTTTCCTTCAGATTTCTGTGGGGAGCAGCAAATGTTAATGGACTGCTCCAATTGTTCTGTTCGTGCATCTAACATATTGGGCTGAGATAAGTAGCCGTTAGGAGTTGAACCTTATGTTTCCTTATCAGGCATTAAAGGAAAAGATTCAACCCAACGGTTAGCGTAGTTTCCTTTCAGCCCTTGAAATAGGCCCACTGAGCTGACCCTTACAGTCCCCACTGTCGTGGTTTCGCTCAGAGAGAGTCGATGGCGTGTGGTAGAGCTACTGCGCAGAGCACCGGGCAACGTGCCTTATCCTCTGACGTGTGGCACGAAGGCGCTGTCATTATTCGTAATAAGCCAAAATTTGGCCAGCTTGTCTTTTGGCATCGGCCTGCAAGCGGGACGGAATGAAAATTTATCCGAACTAGATGAATGATTTTTTTTTAAACAAAATTGTTGCTCAATTGCAGTATTGTATGTAATGTACCAATCTCTCCATGCAATTATGTTTAAAAATACTCTTACAACCCATGATAACGAGAGTGTATATGCAGCTCGTGGAACAAAATGAAAATATATGACCTGTGAGGAATGTGATATGGAGATTCTCCTGAGAAACCAATCATCCAGCATGTTGAGAACACCAATAACAGCAGCAAATATGCGAGCAACACAACTCGGTACTATTTCTACTGATCGCGTACTTTTGTGTGTATACACATTGCGTAGTGCGCAATATTTCCGACACCTCCGATACAATGCAGTGACCACCATAACCAGCATGCAATAGCTTACCCTTTCGACGTTTGACAACTGTAGCCAAAGCAAAAGGGAGTTACAAGGTGACAAACAAAACACGATCCTATCGCCTACCGCAACATTATGCTTATTCTCAACAAAAACGCCCATGGGGGAGAGAGTCAAGGAAAATTACAACACGCCTTACACCTAACCTGGTTACCTGACAGACCGCAGGTCGACATGAATTAAATAAACAGGCATCTGCCGAGACAGCGTCTGTCACTCTGTACAGGTGATAAATTTGGCCTTATCGATAGCGGACAACAGGTCGACGGTGCTGGGAAGATAGTACACTTGTGGGGTCAGCTGGGCACTGGCCGGCGTGGCCGCCATCGACCGTCCCATTATGTAAGGCCCAACACTGCCCGGTACCGGGGGTCTGCTTTCTGCCGAAGGAGCGTCTAAACGAGAAAAAAACTTGCAAATTCAATGACAGCCATCAATTCTCGTTATAATTGCACACCCCTTACTCCCTACTGTATGTGTTTTTTAACGGAAAAGTAGTATAATTCCCGGGCGTTACTCCGTCAAAAAACACCGTTTCTTTCTGGGTTCAATGCAATAATCTGCTAGAAAGAATAAAATCAAAGGAAGGTCAATCCTTTGACCTTCAAGTGTCAACACCAATCCCTAATTTAACCCTATTAGTGGCAGGGGGGGGGGGGGTTGTTTTCATCCACCCCTCAGGTTTTTCGGGAATATCTCCGAAAACGCTGAAGCTACGATGCTGAATTTTTTTGACTTTTCCTAAAACTAAATTGGGCACATTCCCTGAAAAGTTCAAGTTCATAACTTTACCAGGGGCGGCTCCAGAACACTGGGAATTGGGGTGTCCTATTCGTGAAGCGAGTCATTTGGGCGAAGATCACGATGCTGATGTATTATAACTGTATGCACCAGTTTTACGAACAGTGAATGAAAGGTATCATGTGATAACATATACAAAGTTATTGTGCATCCTTTTTTGGCACGTTTTTGCTATAATAGGCGGATCCAGGCGTCCAAAAAGGGGGGTTATGTTTTACCTCCCAACATAGGTGCCCTGACACCGCCTATGCATGACCAATACAATTGTAGTCGTTCTCTCATAAGAAAATTGTAACATAACAAGACCATTACCACCCTTTTTAGAAACAGTACCAACAAAAACCTTATTTACTATACTTTTTGTGTACCCCCAATCTCAATGATCTGTATCCGCATATGATTTTTGAAAATGCATATTTTTAGGATCCATGTGAATTCCTGGTTCATTCTCTATCGATCGGCAAAAGTTGCGTTAGGATTGGTTCAGAAACCTGGCCGTGATAAACAGTCTAAAATGTATCTGCAATTTGCCCGTTTTTACCCCCGTCTACCCCCCTATTGACATTTTTTAATTTTTATTTTTTAGAAATGTAGATCACGTTGAGCGAAATCGAATGCCGTTTGAATTTTGAAAATCGGCCCGTTAGATCTCGAGATATCAAGGGGGGGGGTCGTAAACAGCCCCCCCCCCCTGCCACTAATAGGGGTAGCCAGGAGCCTGCCACTAATAGGGTTAAGCCGGCTGCACGAAACGTTTTTAGCCGAGTGTTGGCTTTCAAGACTTACGTACTCTCATGAAACACGCAAAATCGGCCGACTGTGAATGCAGCAACATAGCACTGTGGGAGTGCGAGTGGACTGGAATGACATTCACTTTGAGTTGAGTGCCTGCTTCAGTTTCTAAATACCCCCATTCTCCAAAAGACGATTCATGAATAGTGAATACTTCAAAGCACAGCTGGACAACCCAAGAATGCTACAATGTCAGTCGGTACTCGGGAGATGGGTAGCCGAGGGAGCAGATTTTGGTGAAGATTGGCATAAGGTATATGAAATGGCATATAAGGTAACGGCTTCAACGCGTCTGCAATCACTACAGCACAGAATAATCCACAGGTATTTTCCCAATAGAAGATTTTTGCACACAAGACAGGTAATAGATGATCCATTCTGTGACAACTGTGGAGAAATAGATACCATACAGCATTACTTCTTTGGATGCTCCTACAGGGTGTCCCATAAGTTCGTTCTCACCTAAATTTTACGTTTTTAGGCTTTCTTGCTTAAAGGCACGCTGAAATTGGTTCGTAACTGAGCTTACATGGTTGCCATGGCTGGTAGAAATATGCTCCACAGTAGCTAATTTCTGTAGACAAAATAGTTTTTGCTAGAGAGCCCGCTTCCTACAGAGACGGCTAACGCCGCAACATAGAGGTCTCCGATACGGGTACGTCTCAGCATTTAGTCAGCACGTGACCATTCGCGACGATTGAGGGTGATTGAGGCCTACCAGTCTGTAGCCAATATCCATCGCTAACTGGACGCACAGTCAGCAAGTGACGCCGATGATTTGTTGGGAGTCAATCACTGCAAGTTTATCCTCTTTCTAGCCAGCCCTCAGGAATGAGCCAAGTGGCCAAAACTGTGTGGCGTCAAAGTGGCCATCAAAAAGGTCAAAGGGTTAGAAAGTTGGTAAACAGACTTTTCAGGATGGATTACCAGCTGTCTAAGAGTGTTCTTTCGGGGTACATAACTCAAGGTGACTTAAGCTTTGCTTACCGGAGGGCACAAAACAGTCAAAAACGTCTTAAAATGGCCAAACATGAGTTTCGTTATGCCTGAGGCTAAACAAAACTAGAGGGCTGATGACATCAACCAGGTCATCTGGACTAACTAGTCCACGTTCGAGATGAAACACCCGTCCAAACCCGAAAACAACCCCATAAGGGCGAAGGAGGAGGCCTTCATTTCGTCCCGTTATGTTCCTATGCAAAAGGCCAGGGTCACTGTGTTGTGGGGTTATAGGCGTTCTGGAGTTGATCAAGTCAAGTTACAAGTGGCAACCCAGAAACAGTTTTGGGAAGCAGAATGCTTTTCCAAGAACATCTAGGAGGAATTTCAGCCCTCAAGCTGAACTCGAACCGCGAGTATGAACACATTTATAGAGGAGAAAATGGCATCCGGGAGGTCGTAGGCCCATCTTCAGGCAAGACAGTGCATCAGTGCACAGGTCAAGCAAAGCTTAAAAGCGGTGCAAGGAGACTGTGACAGGCGTTTGTAGCAAGATCACATGCCAGGCACCTCATCGGATCAAAATTTCATAAAAATTTGTTGGTTATGCTGAAGTTGAGGCTCGTCGAAGCGTAGCGCTGTTCCAGCCTCGAGGAGCTCACGGCGCATGTCAAGTCAGTCTGGGTTAACTTTAAGCCTGCTATGCAGCCAAACATGCCGGTTGGCATGCCGCAGCATGTATTCATGTGTTTGCCTATTAAATGGGGAGCACATTGAGGGGTCATAAATATACCAAAACGCAATGTACTCTGTTTCACATGCAAACATAATGTGAGAACGAACTTATGGGACACCCTGTATGTGCGTAAGTTTTGGAGAGGACTAAGTTCCATGCTAAATGAAAGGACGGATGCAGCTGGCACAATAGAAATCACCTGCTATAATGCGCTTTTTGGGGGGCGGCAGTACGCAAATATAGTCAATTGCATGATTTTGCTGGCAAAACAATTTATTGTAACGCAACATTCCCACGATACAGCTCCAAATATGCAAGCATTTCGTCCTGTGCTGTCCAGGATGTTCGATATGGAAAAAACGATTGCTGTGAAGGGATCGAAGGTTGATGAGTTTCGAGACAGATGGAAGTTGTTTATAAGGCCTGGCACACTGGAACTGTTAATCGATTGATCGGGGATCAAGGTACGTGTAGAACTCTGAAAGAGTTTGGTGGTGTCACATGGTGACTGTAATGTGATTTCACTAACGCTAAACATGCCCCCGCTCCTATGACCCATCCGGGCCAACCCGGGACCAGCCCCACCTGTGCACAGTGATGCAAATGGGGTTCACGAGTGGCCATAAATACCCAAAAGTCAAGTTTACCAAATCGAGTTAATTGCGATATGGCCGAGTAGACAAATGTTTGGGGCATCTGAAATCACATGGTGTTCATGTTTTTGTCAAAACCGGCCTCGTGTATAATCGTCAGAAGTCGTGACATTTTCTAGGTCGTAAAATGACGGTCAGACACTCGCAAGTTCAAACGCAGCTGGTTTGCGTTCATTTCGTACAAATTGAAAAAATTATACATGAGAATGATCCCCAAAGCCTTCTGCTTTTAATGCCGGGTCACAAAAAGCCGTATCTCATTCGCCTTGGCGGTAATCTGACTATTTATCATCATGTTGCAATCCCAGTTTTTTACTAAGAAAAAAATGCTTTCTTTCGTTTCACCTACAGCACTTAACACAGTGTGTGCCCGTTAGTCCACCATACCATACCCTTTCCTAATCATTTCTGAGTCGCATCGTGAAAGAATTAAGGCGCTAGCACAGGGCTGACCGGCGCTACAGAGGTTTTTGTCCGGGAGGTCGGGTGCCGCAGTGGGCGCGCAGTGGGCGGGTGGGTGCCGCCGCGCGGCGTCCGAGCGGCGCGGCGGCGCGGCCGCCCGGGCCGCCCGCTGCGCCGCGGCACCCGACCGTGCCGGACGAAAACTTCTGTAGCGCCGGTCAGCCCTGTGCTAGCGCCTTAATTCTTTCACGATGCGACTCAAAAATGATTAGGGAATGCTATGATATGGTGCACTAACGGGCACACACTGTGTGAAGTGCTGTAGGTGAATTGAAAGCAAATATTTTTGGTAAAAAACTGCGGTTGCAACATGATTACAAATAATAGGTCTGTTCCCGTCGCTCCTCCCAAAAAATCTCGGATGAGGTTGGATGAGCTTGGAGGAGAGCCGTTTCAGAGGAGCCACGGGAACATTTTCGCGAGGAAATCAGCTGTTTGCGGGCTGTAACGGTCGGCGATTTATGGCGCGCAAACATAAATCAAGAGATAATAATCGCTTTCTAATAAAATAACCTTAGATTAATATCAAACATTACTATTTAAAGATATCCAATCGTCATCAATCACTAAAATCATTTCCACTTCCCCCAAATCTCATTTATAAACAATTCACATTCGTATTACGTGCGCCAAATATGTCTACGCAAGAGCCTCCTCCTAAAAACCAACTTTCGTTTGGGATGAGGGAGGAGGCAAATAGTGGCGGTGAGATGTGAAATCAAGATGAGCTTGGAGGAGCTTGGAGGAGCGACGGGAACGATTTTTTGAAACGAGAGGAGGTTAGAGGAGCTTGGAGGAGGTTAGAGGAGCGACGGGAACAGTTAGCTCACCGCCAAACCAAAATAGATACGGCTTTTTATGACGTGGCATTAGAAGCAGCAGGTTTCGGGGATCATTTTCATGTATAATTTTTGCAGTTTGCATGGCATGAACGCACGCTAGCGGCACTTGAATTTCAAGTAACTGACAGTCATTTTACGACATCGAAAATGTCTCGACTTCTGACAATCCTACACGAGGCCGGTTTTGACAAAAACATTAAAATCATACTTTTTCAGACACCCCAAACATTTGCCTGACTGACCATATTACGATTTATTCGATTAAGTGAACTTGAATTTTGGGCCTTTTTCGTATTTATGGCCACTCGTGAACCCCATTTGCATCACTGTGCTGTGAGGGGCTGGTCGGCCGGCCGGGCGTGCGGAGCTCCGACCTCCGGGTTGACGCTTCGCTCGCCCGGTCGGTGGTTAGGGGGCACCGCCCGGGGTTGCTTGCCGGGCGGTGCGGGCGGGGGTTGGCGGCCCGCCTGGAGCGCCGGGGAGGTAGCCATCAGATCTCCCCGGCTGGGGAAGATCCCCCAGCTCTCCCCAGGGCCGTGGACGGCACCGTCCCGGCCTGGCCAGGCGGGCCGCCGATGGTGAGCACAACGTTTCATGCTTATTTTTGCCGGTGTTTTTATGTGAATTATGTAAATAAAACTGTGAAAAAAAAAATTCAGTCGGTACTCACCATCCCCTTTGGCGTCAGCGTCCACGTCATCGACGCCGTCGATGTACTGCAGCTCGTCGAACTCGTGCTCGGCCGGGTCGGCGGTGGCCAGGGCAGCGAACGCATCGGTGATGGCGTCACCGAGACCACCCTCGCCCTCGCCCTCAGCGGCAGTCGCCGAGCCGTTGGTCGCGGCCGCATCGTTCTCACTCATGGTGCCGTGGCCGACTGCAATCGGTATTCAGATTCCCACTCTGCGAATAGCGATAGCACAGCTGATTATGCAGCATTCAGCTACAATCTACTACAAATGAGAAACAATATACCTTAAAGAAGCATTTATTTACAAAGTTATATCATACTGTCCTATGCTGTGTATATCTGACTGAGTGCCAAGTGCTCATTAATATCTACCACTATGAACCAGTCATTCAAACTAAAGACATCTCCAAACCAAAACAAAGAGTGTAAGCCAGGCTGCAAGCTATTTAGGTTATGTAATTGAACAGCTAAATAAATATTTATTCAGATTAAAAAACGATTAATTGTAGTTTATAAAGGATTTTAAAATACTTCAATCAATTAATTTATCAAAAGCTGACTGAAAGATCCAAGATCAAAGTTTTTTTTAAGGATTAAAAGTCTCTGAAGCTCCCTCCATGACATCCGTCCCAGGTAAGTCTAGTAGTTGTGGCTTATGAACCATGCTTAATTCACATGTCATTGCTTCATTGCTTCTAATACATCAAGTGCTCATGTACACTCGGGGGCAGATTGATGTTCCACCACTCCCTATCCATCTGGTTCCCATGACACAGCACTGGCTGCTGCTAGTGTTGCCTGCCCTCAGCACTGCTCAGCACTGCCTGCCAGTGCCAGTGCTGCCGGTTGATGTTCCACCACTCCCTATCCATCTGGTTCCCATGACTCAGCATTGGCTGCTCACTGCTGCCAGTGTTGCCTGCCCTCAGCACTGCTCAGCACTGCCTGCCAGTGCTGCCAGTTCTGCCACTGGTAGCTCAGCCAGTGCTGAGGGCTGCCAGTGCATTGGGCTGCCATGGGAGCCCAATGGGCAGGGAGTGGTGGAACATCAATCTGCCTCCGAGTGAACACATAGGTATTCCGGATCCGTTCTCAAATACAAATATGGACTAAGAGTAGGTACCATAGTAGGCACCGAAGAGTAGGTAGAGTAGGTAATGGTGCAGTTTTGCTTATTTTATAAACTCAACCTTAAGGTATTTTTATAGAGGAACTAGTTGAATATTGCTGATACCTATTTAAACAGTAACTTTAAGCATGACCTGATAACTCATCAGCAAAATGTGAGTTAGGCCAAGATTATGTTGTAAGGCTGGGTTACCAGGTTGGCTTGCAAAGCCAAGAGGTAAGGTAAGGTTGTGTTTCAAAAGGTTTAGTCCATCCTGCTAAGAATGGCAACGGGGTTGAAAGCCTGAGCCTCTCTGGCTGAAGCGATAGATCCGCACCAGCACCAGCCCATGCCATCTGAGATGGAAATCAGCACCAGTCTGGAGTTGCACCGAACAAGATTAATAATTCCTACCACAATGTGTAGCTGTCTCAGCTACCTACTTTAACTTCTCGATTTAGCTTGTTCCGCAGACAACGCCCACTCGCACGCCTGCACCCCGCCCCTTTCACACAAACTGAACCCCTGCAAGGGGCTAGCAGCGGACTGAGCGCATTTTGGCTTACTTACCACGGTTCTAATCCTTCAGTCGCCGCCTTGTCACACCTCACCGCACGGACAGTAACTCATATCACGGAAACGGGAAAAAAAAAACGGCTTCTATCCACCCCAGCACGCCATTGCCCGCAGTGAATCATGTGTTCATTTGTATAACACAGCGTAGTACAGCACGGTATGGAAAATATGTCAAGGATTCCTGTTTAGTCATAAATGTATTGCTCTCGATAGCAAACTGCTGACAATCGCAAGCATAAAATAAGTCGAGGCCGCTAAAACAAATTGGATTTTGGAAACAATGTCAAACTTTCGTTTTGGTGTATGATAAATATTTTGTTTTACTTAATGATATATTAATAGAAATGCGCTATCGTTCGAGCATTTTTCTTACACATGAATAATTACTAGAAAATATTGTGAGACATTTATCACGCATCAGTTTTATTTTTCCAGTTGTACTTACCCACTTTTTCACACATCACAGCTGAGCGTCTCCGAGGATGTGGAGTTAGTGGCTAGTGCCTCCTTAGACCCTTTCATCTGTTCAATTGTTAGAAGTCAGACAACATAAGTGATATGGAAGCGAAAGTTGAGACAGAGGCGGATTCAGCCGATCCGTTTGGGGAGGGCAAAAGTGTTCGACCCATTCGGCGTCGGGGAGGGCAAATGCAAGGCAAATGCCCATTTTGCCTTCCCCTAGATCCGCCACTGAGTTGACATCCCTGACCACGGTAACCTTTGACTCAAATCCCGCCGAACATATCTGTTTTGATGGCCGAAAGAGGGGATAGCTTTGCCCCCCCCCCCCCCCCCACGCACACACATTCAACAATGACAGTTTTCTGATGTAAATTACATGTGAAGAATCTATGAAAATATCAGGAGCTGGCTGGATCGCGGTTGATGGGTCGGAGGAACAGACTGCGAGTCGCCGGGTCGGCGCGGGTGGGGTGCGCGCCGGCTGAGCGATGAGCGGCGCTGCATTGGTCGGGGCAGAGAGGCTGTCGTCTCATCAGTGGCAGTGCACCGTTCGACGCTGCCGGCACGGGCAGCCCGGACACCGGCAGTCTCAGTGTCGTCTGCAGGCTGTCATCAGTCCCTGCTTGGAGCAGTCTGGCTGACAACTCAGACGCCTGAAGCTTGACGAAGAATCAGCTAGCGGGGATGAACGTAAGCAGCCATGTCGACTGAGACTTAGTGGCGGCTTACAACAGATGGTGGAACGAGGACTGCTCATAGTTGATCATAGAGTAAGTTCTCAAACGCTTGTAACGTTTGCGTTTTCCTGGCGGAGCATGCAACCGCGACCTGCATAGCATGGTCGAGGGTATGAGTTCAGATATTGTTTGTGCTTTGTCAAGTGCAATGCTGATTGAAGTTATGAGTAGTGTCGGGTATTTGATATTAAACATCTAGTGAAAATAACTCCTACGTAAGTGATAAGTGCCCGCTTTTAGCTAAACGGCATTTCAGACCCTCCCTAACTGCAGTGAACAAGCGAACGGGAAACAAACGCACTGAGAGAAATTTTGACTCCCTTTAGGAGAGTTATCGAGAGTTACCAAAAACGACTCCCTAAAACTCCAGGCAGCTACTCCCCTTTACTCTCCCTCATAACTCTCACTGGAACTCTTCATCACTCTCCTCCATTACTCTTCATAACTCTTTCGACCCATCACTACTCCCCTCTACTACTCCCCCTAGAACTCTTCATTACTCCACATTACTCCCCCCACGTAACTCCCGTTAACTCTCATTACTCTCCCACGGAACTCTCGCGTGAACTCCCCATTACCCTCTCACGGAACTCTCCCGTGAACTCCCCATTACTCCCCCACGTAACTGCCCATTACACCCCTCGTAAACCCTCATTACTCTGCCTCTCTCGAAACTGATGCGAATAGAACAAACCATTTATTGACATTTTCATTTGTGAAGTTCAATCTTACACGTGTATCTTCGTCACAAAACGTGAACAATAATTCATCTAACTGACCAGTTGCGCCTCTTATCTATAATGTGATAAAGAACCAGCTGTTACGCTGTGCACAGCAAACTCTCACTCTTTATCAAAACATGTGAGGCTAAGGCATCCCTTCGACGAAACTCAGCGAATAATCATCGAGCAATGGTATGATTCCAGTACAGAAAAAAAGAAACCCAAAAGCCGGGTAAATCTAAAATGCACAGCACAATGCAGAAGTTGGATTCTTGCATTAAGAACACCGCTTATTTTACGATACCAATTATTTCGTCCGATGGATTAAGGAACGAAGTAGTTACATATCCGTGACATTAAAATAAAAACAGTAATTAACTTCTTAAAACCCGGCCGTCAGCACGACTCACCACTCACCAGCGCAGAGAGCACCCCCCAGCAAACATGCCCACATGGGTCCCATATGGGGTGAATATGGGCCAGATGGGCCCACGTGGGACATGGGCTACAGATGGGCTACCCATATGGGCCCCATATGGGATAAAAATGGGCCAGATGGGCCAAACGCATGCATGGGCTGGAGATGGGCATCCCATGTGGGTCCCATATGGGGTGAACATGGGCCAGATGGGCCCACGTGGGACATGGGCTACAGATGGGCTACCCATATGGGTCCCATGTGGGCGCCGCGTGGGTCCCATATGGGGCCTACGTGGGCTGACCCATATGGGTCCCACGTGTCACCCACTGCCATTCCCATGTGGGACCCATATGGAAGAGGTGGGGGGCCCATGTGGGCCCCATATGGGGACCATGTGGGCATGTTTGCTGGGCCTTCCTTCAGCTCCTGGAGCGGTTGGCCTAGCTAATTTCAACCACACCATTCTACACACCCATTTTCACCAATACCACTGCTCGGTATTATACGGTAATCACTCGGTCCATCGCTGTCATTGGTCAGTCCTCAGTCACTCACACCAGTTGCCAGTTGATTCATCCAATGTTCTGTTAGGTATTACCAACCGTCTTGATGTATAGTTTTAATCTTCCGCCACTGCCACGGGCACACACTTATTTCACCAATTCACTACCAAAGCAATGTAGAAATTCAAATAAATTGCACAATAGTACCTACTGGAATACAAGCAGCAACGTGCACACTGCGCTGCGCCGGCAGCTGGACTGACGCTCGGCCAGCTAGCGCGCGCCGAAGCTTCTAGAACATTACTTTTCTCCAAAACTCCTCAAAACTCTCCCTTGAATAAACTCGATTATGCTTCCAGCTGGAAATGAGGAGAGTAAACAGGCATCGCACGAGAGAGGCCAGCTGACACTCCGCACTGAGAAAAAAATTGACTCCATATGGGTCAAAACTCTTGAAAATGCTCCTCTAAAAACTCCTTAAAACCATTGATAACTCCCTTTCCAGCAGAGTTATTGAGTGTGTTCTAGGGTAACTTCGAGCCTTCCTCATTTTGCGAAAGAGTTTTCAAGAGTTCTTAATGGATGGCGAAATGACTCCATGTGTGACACCCCATAACTCTGTGACGCAACTCTCCATTACTTCCGAAAAACCTTTCCCGAACGTTCCGACAGGAGTAAAAGGGGAGTTACGAAGGGGTTTTAGCATACGTCGCGAGGAGCTGCCGGTGGCCGCCATCTTTTGCGCGTAGTACACAGCACGTTGTGCGGGGCGGCGGGCGAGGTGTTAGTGAAGAGCGTGTTGACTTAGACGGACCTGACCTATATACAGTGACGGATAATTGGACCTTACTTTGGATTTAAAGGTAAGCTTAGCTGTATTTCTCATCATGCTTTTATAGTGCAAAGTGTTATAATGCTGTGATGAGAACATATGGTAACCCCATGTTCTTGATGGGCTGGAATGGTCTCTGTAAGGGTAATTGATTTGTATTGTTCCTGAGTGAAATAAAGATCGGAAACAGCATGCTCTGAGTTTCTAGGTATTGGCAAATATCATACATTATTTCCCTCGAATAAATTGCAAAGTTTGAACGTTTTTTGTCAATGATCTTAAAATCGTTCAACGAAAATGGTACGTCGCATGCCAATGAATGGTCTCTAACAGAAGAGGCTACAGGAGAGGTAAGAAAATTTCCCGTTCTGTCCGACTTGCCCTGATGCTGGCACACTCTGCTATAAAGGCGCACATAGGTCGAGCCTATGTATGTCCCCTCACACGAGGGGCAACTGAACTGATAAACTATAGCAGAGCGGCATGCTTTCGGGATCACGTCTTTAAACGAGAAAAGAGAGCCTATGCTGCGGGTGTTGCGGATAATGATCTTGGGGTTCAGGTAGGGATAAAACTTTTTTAGAGTGGACTCTACCTCAGATCTTAGTTTGTTTGATTGTTTTCCAAAAAAAGGTAGCACAAAGTACCTGTCTAGCTTGGGTAGACCCAAGCTAGACAGGTACTTTGTGCTACCTTTTTTTGGAAAACAATCAAACAAACTAAGATCTGAGGTAGAGTCCACTCTAAAAAAGTTTTATCCCTACCTGAACCCCAAGATCATTATCCGCAACACCCGCAGCATAGGCTCTCTTTTCTCGTTTAAAGACGTGATCCCGAAAGCATGCCGCTCTGCTATAGTTTATCAGTTCAGTTGCCCCTCGTGTGAGGGGACATACATAGGCTCGACCTATGTGCGCCTTTATAGCAGAGTGTGCCAGCATCAGGGCAAGTCGGACAGAACGGGAAATTTTCTTACCTCTCCTGTAGCCTCTTCTGTTAGAGACCATTCATTGGCATGCGACGTACCATTTTCGTTGAACGATTTTAAATTGGAAAGTTAGGATTACACAAGCTTTACACGTCATGGATTATATTGTTATTGCCCAATTATTTTAATATCTATACCAATGACAAATATCAAATTTGAAGGGCTTGCAAAGGAGAGCCAGAAAATAACGTCAGGTCTTGGTCACGTCAGGTCGCGTATGTCTCGTCTCGTCCATCTTGTCTCATCTGCCTACCTCTCAGTCTCCTCCCTCATTTCTTCCTTCCATCTTTCCTCGCTTCCTTTCTCATCACTCCCTCTTTCCCTCCCCTCTCTCTCCCTTTCTTTCTCCCTCTATCCCTCCCTTCCTTCCTGTTTTCCTTCCTTCCTTCCTTCATCCCTCCCTCCTTCCCTCCCTTTCTCCTTCATTATTTCCCCTTCTTCTCTTTTTTTCTTTCTCCTCCATTTCCTCCCACGCAATGTTAAGTGTACCTATAATTTCATGGTTATTAACATTTTTTCAGGGGATGAGCTGGAGAGCCTGCAGCGCATCCCGCAAGACACGTCGGAAGCCAACGGAGGCCAGCAAAATATCCATCCCACAATCGTGAAAGGAGAGCCGGACGAAGAAGACGCAGTATTCGTCGAGGCCCAGGAGGTGGTAGCGGCACCACCAGACCAAGCATTCCTGCTGTGGTAGGACGCCTTTTGGATTCTTAACATCAAAACTCGCGACCGTGAAGCATATGGAGTGAGATCCCCGGAGAGCGTGCCGTGGCGGGATGTCGAAAGCGTTTGTTAATTTTTTAAGCCTCCCACCGCCCCGGACTATGAATACACATTTCTTGAAATATATTTTTTATCTGTGCTTCGGTACACGAGCTTTGGGTGGTTACGCTATTCGTCCAATATTTATTTTCGGGGGGGGGGGGGGGCTGGAGTGGAGTGATGGGAAGTTTGGATGAGTTTGATGGGGAGTAACAAGAGGTATACCATGAAGCTGTAAACGGAGTTTTGGGGAATCATGAAATGGAGTAATCGGGAGTAATTATGAGGCAGTAGGAGAGTCATTGAGAGTAATGGAAGGAGTTTCAGGGAGTATGTTGTTTGTTTTGATAGGGTAAAGGAGAGTAATGAAGAGTTTTCTAAAACGGTAGGGAGAGTTACAGAGAGTTTCTCGAGGGAAGTTTTGGGGTGTAATGGAGAGTTTTAGAGGGGGTGTAATGAGGAGTACCACCTGGGAGTTTTGGGGTGTCGTTTTGGTGAACTCCCCCTGGGGGTGTCATGCGGAGTCAGGATTTTTCTCAGTGCGCGCGTTACACTCGGTAAACTCTACGATACACTCCCCGGACGCAGCCGAATTGGCAACTCTACCGGGAAACTCTCGGAAATACTCTTCGCTACGCTAGGCTTACCGACATTTGAGGGAGTTGCGAAGAGTTATTAGGCGGGAGTTTCAGAGAATTCCGAGAGCCTAAGAGTAAATTTTTCTCTCAGTGCGGGAAGGACAAACATTTGGAAACAAAGACTGTAAATGAAGAGACGTGGACTTTATTGCCGCATAAAGTTT